TGGAATAAAGAAAGCGTGATAGATAGGCAAATAGATAGACAGATAGATAGATGGATAGAAAAAGAGACAGATGCACGAGGAACCATCTCAATAGTTTCCAAAGCTGGCTTATGGTCAAAATTACCTGGTGAGCCTTTAAAAACTTAATGAGAATCTACTGGGGCTGGGGGAGGAGAGGAAGGAAGGTGGATTCCTGAATGTGTGTGTGTGTGTGGGGGGGGGGGGGGGGGTTGAGTTCCCCAGTTGATAGTTTAGAGTTGGCTTTTGGGAACTACTGATGAACTCGAGTTTGTGGGTGGGGCCAGGGAAAATATCAAGTGCCTGAAGGGTTAAGGGCTTAAATTTAATTAACCCAAAGAGCAGGGACCAAGTCGGAGTTAAACTACTTTTTTAAAAGATAAATCATTTTGAAATATGAAAAACTGTGGCAGGCATACATATGACACATCAACAACTCCAATAATACATTTTTTTAAGTCAGTAATATTTTTATTACAGAAAAGAGTTTGTTTGAAAAGTCAACTATTGAAAACAGTTTGTCTCTGGACGTACAGAGAGATGAACAACCTCTGAACAAGGAATGAGATTTTATCATTCACTAAAGGCCTTCACAGCAAAACCAAATGAACAAAATGCACCTCCAACATTTCTCAACTGTCACTCATGTTACAAGGGAAGATTATTATCCAAGAAGATAAAGTTCAGGGGATTCTTAAAGGAAGATCCCAGATCAGATAGAGATGAGAATAACAGAAGATGATTGATCTTCTTTACTCTTCGCTCACGGAGGCAGAAGAATGCAAGGAAGTTCTTTAAAAAGCATGTAGGCGCACGTTCAAGAAAAGACCTTGGGATTCGGTTCTCACAGGCTATCTGCAGGACTGGCTTCTCCACCAAGACTGGACGACTGGGGAGGTGGGAGGGAGGCCACTGCCCAGGTGTGACTCCTGCCGAAAGTGGTGATTAAGACCAGAGGTATGAGAGGATCGGAAAGCTCAGTGGGTTTGAAAGCTGAGACAAGAATTGGAAATAAAGAGAAACAACCGCGGTGAGATTCAGACACCGCGGGGCCACTGAAGGCTCAGGAGATGTTTAAGGTCAGTCATGGTCACGGCCAGCAGTTCAGGAAATATGTGGGGGCACACAGGCCAGAATTCCAAATTTATGTCCCCAGAGAAAGAACTAGCTGGTTTAAAAGATTCACAGTTGAGACCGGAATCAGGTATGAAAGGGAAAGGATCTTTAGGATTCACCAGCAGTCAACAGAGCGTTCACACCAACAGCTTCTGAGAGTAAAGCCCAATACTGCTTTGCCCATGCGGTGTCTTCACTTGCCTCCGCCAGCAGTCCAGCTCAGAGATACCCACGGACTGCAGAGTCTCCCTCAAGACTCTCTGGAGGCCAGAAATAAGACGATGCTTCTTAAACAAGCAAGGCTGCTGCTCACTGTGGTCCATGGACCGGCATCATCAGCGTCACCAGAGAACTTGTCAGCAATGCAGAATCTCAGGCCCCATCCCAGACCCATTGAATGGGAAACTGCGTTTTTACAAGACCCCCAGGCAATGCTATGTACTTGAGGTTAGGTGTTCTAGACCACCCAACCGGTAGCAGTGAGTGAATGACACCCAAAGGAGCAAAGCAGACTTGTTAATTCATAAGCTGAGGAGGACCTTCAGCCTGAGGGTCCAGGTGCAAGAACAGAATTACCTGAACCTATAGGCTGATTGACATACTCCCTAGAAATAAGAAGAGTGCCCGATTTTAAACTGAGTGCTCAGGATAGAGAGACTTAAGTTATATTTGTATCCATTGGTAGAATTGGTAAAGATAAAATAAATCTATGTTTTTGAGTAATTTACTTCTCAGAGGCAAGGCAAAATACTCCCTCAGCTCTAGAAAAACCATGACTACAACGTGTTGAGTGTCGCCATGTTCTGGGCTCATTTTCACCCACTTCGTATATCCCCTCTTCCTGGAATTTAATCCTTACATAGATTCAACTGGTCTCCATTTTTACAATCTATATTCTAATCCAATTGATATTCTGACCCTAGAACCAGATTCCATGGGACTCAGAAACTTATGTTTTTATAGTTCTGAAATTTTCGATTCACCTAGAAAGCTTTTTAAAAATGCACTTTCTGCTGACACTCCTCCAGGTTCTGATTCAGAGGGTCTGGGGTGAGGGCTGGAAATCCCCATTTTTAACAAGTACCCCAGGTGAATCTTATGCACATGGGCCACAGCACACTTTGAGAAACGTGGGTCTGGTTGTTAATAATCACTTTGCCCTCATCCACAGGCCACCTCCCAAGGCATGATGAGGGATTAATTAGAACAGCCCCAGAGATGGGCTGGCTTTACAAGCGCGTCTGTAACACAAGTGACGCCAATGAAATCCAGCGATGTTGGGCAGAACTTGAGAAAATTGCCTGGTGAACCGCGGCCAAGGAAGATGCTTCCCTGGAAGGAGGTGCCTTGAACTTGAGTCTCCGCCACCCAGAGGGGGAACGGTGACTCACAGGAAATGATAAAGTTGAGGAAAGCATTTTCCTTAAGACAGAGAAACACCTGTACAAATCCAAACTCATAACAACGTAAGGTCAAGCCTAAAATGTTAGTGGATTTTGTACTCTCCAGTAATTCTGTATATATCTATCAATCCTTTCCTTTATTGCTAGTGCTTTTGGTGGTCTATTTAAGAAATCTTTGCCTACCCCAAGTTCATCAACACAGTCTCCTACATTATCTTCTCCAAGTTGTATTGTTTTGCCTTTCACATTTACTTGGAAATGATTTTTGTGTTTGATGTGAGGTAAGGGTCAAAACTCACTCTTTCCCATATGGATATCGAGTTCACCCAGAGTCATTTAGTGAGATCAAAGGGCTGCATTTGTTAAAAAAGACTCTTTTTTCTCCCCTTCTCTGCAGCATCACTTTCTGTATTCATCTAAGAATACTAACTCATTCTAAAATATCGGTTTGGCGTAATTTATGTGTAAACTAAATCATGTTGGAATACTTTTTAAATATTAAGAGATTTTCCTAAAACTCTGATCACAATGCTCTGGTCTCGCATATAATTGGACTTATGTCTCTAGAGGAGAGGATGAAATTCCGTGAATGTTCCACTTCAGCTATATTCTATTCCAGAGCTTTCCAACGTGGTATGAAGAGAAAATTATTCTCCAGGGAAGTGAGGGGAGGGTGTAGAAAGATATATGGAGAGCAAAAGAATTCATCCTTCACCACATAAATTCATTTGTTCCAGCCACAGAGCACAACCAGTTTATTTTTTACCGAAGGATGTTTCTAAACTTTTAACGTGCTAACGCTTGGCGTGAGGCATTAAGAAGCAGCATTTCCCAACACTGTCTGACCACACAGGCCTTTGAACCCAGAGCATGACCTTCATTCTCTGGTTAGCAGGGAGAAGAAAAGCCATTGAGTTCCTCCCACCAAACCCGTAAAGCCACCAGCATCTGACCTCACTCTTTCCATCCTCGTCCACTTACTGGTGCGTACCCTTCAGTTGTAGGGGCAGCCCTTCACTTCTGCTCCAGGTCCCCCCACCTCCTGCTTCCTCATGACTCAACTCTCTCTGATGCCTCTTTCTCCTTCCTGGTGGCTGACTCCTCCCCTACAACACTTCAGCATGCTTTACATGGCCCCGCCTTAAAAAAACAACAACTGGGGCCAGCCCCTAGGCATAGTGGTTGAGGTGGGCAGGTTCCAATTCAGCAGTTGGTTTGTGGGTTTGGATCCTGGGGTGGACTTACACCACTCATCAGCCATGCTGTAGCAGCAACCCATATATAAAGTAGAGGAACATTGACACAGATGTTCAGGGCTAATCTTTCTCAGCAAAAAAAAAAAAAAAAGCAAAGAACGAAAAACCCCACAAGGACTATAAAGTGTTATAGCCCCTCTGGAAAACAGTTCGACAGTTTCTTTAAAAACTAAATATTCATCTATTATACAACCCAACAATCATACTCCCAGGCATTTATTCCAGAGAAATGAAACTTACGTCCACACAAAAACCTGTACACAAATGTTTGTAGCAGATTTATTTGGAATAACCAAAAACCAGAAACAACCAAAATGTCCTTCAATAGGTGAATGCCTAAAAAACCTGTGGTACATCCATACCATGGAATACTACTCAGCAATGAAAAGGAGTGAACTCTTGGTACACACGACAACTTGGATGGATCTCAAGAGCATATGCTGAGTAGGAAAAACCAAACTCAAAGGGTCACATACCATGTGATTCCATTTATATAACATTCTAGAAATGACAAAATTCTACAGATGGAGAACAAATTAGTGGTGGTCAAGGGTTAAGGATGGGGGTGGCAAAAGGGAGATCTTTGTGGTGCTGGAATAGTTCAGGATCTTGATTGCGGTGGTGGTTTCACAAGTCTGCACATATAATAAGGTAACACGGAACTATATGCTCACGTTATCCCCACGTCGATCTCCTGGGTTGGATATTGCACTACATTCTGTAGATGAAGATCTGCTCATGTGAGAAGATAAGTTAGAACATCATATACACACATACGCTTGTTGTACTAATGTCATGCCCCTGGTTTGGGTACAAGGTCAAGAGTACGGAACCTCTCTGTACTTTCTTTGCAACTTTCTGTGAACCAATAATTTTTCAAAATAAAAAGTTAAGAAAAAAATGAAAAAATATCAGTGTACACAAAACATACAAAATCGTACTGCTTCCCTAGACCCCACAACTCCCTCCAAGAATAACGATATCCTTCTCCTCTTCTTTTTTCATTTGTTTGGTTTTATGGGGGGAGGAAGATTGGCCCTGAGCTAACATCTGTTGCCAATCTTCCTCTTTTTGCTGAGGAAGATTGTCGCTGAGCTAATTTCTGTGCCAATCTTCCTCTGTTTTATGTGGGATGCCACCACAGCAAGGCCTGATGGGTGGTGCTAGGTCCACGACCAGGATCTGAACCTGCGAACCCTGGGCCACCAAAATGGAGCACACGAACTTAACCACCATGCCACCAGGCCAGCCCCTCTTTCTCCACTTCTTCGCAGCCGAATTTATTGAAAATATTTTCTTTAACTTATATTCTCCATATCTACCTTTTTTCTGTACCATTGCTGGATTCATTAATTTATTCAACAAATATTTATTAAGTGCCTATTATGTTGCAGGCACTGTTCTAGGTTCTCAGGTCACATGAGTGAACAAAATTTCTTCCCTCATGTCACTGACATTTGAGGGAGGGTGGGGGTGACAGACAATAAAGTAAATAAACAAAATAGGTAGTATAGTCAATGGTGATAAATGCTGTTAAGAGAAATAAAGTAGGAAAGAGGGAGAGTGCATGAGTGGAAAGAAATGTGATTTAAATAGTGTGAGGTAAGGCCTCACTGAAAGGTAACATTTGAGCAAACACCTGAAGGATGCAAAGGAGGGAGTTTGGCAGAAGTCTGGGAACATCATTCCTGGCAGAGCAAACAGCAGGTGCAAAGGCCCTATGGCAGGAACCTTCCCACTTTTTTCAAGAAACTACAAGGAGGGCAGTGCAATAGGAGCAGAGAAAGTCTTAGGACATGAGGACCAGAAGATAATTGGTTGGAGGTGGAGAGACCAGATCACTTGTTGGACATTCTAAGTCTGAAAAGTTAGTGATTGGGAAGACCTCGGTGAATTTTGAACAGAGGAGTAATATGAGCTAACCTACATTTTTACAGGGTCTGCTGAGGATGGAACAGACCTTTGAAATTGCTCTTGCCAAGGAAACTCATAACCTCCACTTTGCATAATCCAATGGACTCTTCTCAGCCCCCATTCTTGCTGACTGCCCTTTCAGCAGCACTTGAGCTTGTTGACCACTCTTGTCCTCTACTCAGTATCTTTATCTTCTACCTCCTGGGCCACTCTTTCTCTGTGTCTTTCCCTCTATCTGTTCTATAAGTGTTGGACCTTCTCAAGATTATATATGTGGCCCCCATATCATCTAAGTACAAATACTCTACTTGGGCAATCTTATTTTCTCTCCTGGTTTCATTCCAGCCATATGCTAATGCTTGCAAAATCAGTGTCATTGGCCAGGACAACTCACTGGAGCTCCAGACCCACACATCCAGCTGCCTATTGCGTATTTCCACTTGGATGTCTCAAGGTCCTTGAAACTCAACTTGTATAAAATGGAACTGTTTTCCCTGCTGCCTCTTTCCTTAATCCCTACTGGGACTGCTTCTCCTCCCGATCTCACTTAAAAGCTGGACATTCACCTTGTTGTTTAAGCTGGAAACCTAGGAGTCATCTGTAAATCTTCACTTTCCCTCACTCTTCAGTCCAGTCCTTCACCAAATCATCTGGATTCTACCTTAAACAGCACGACAATTCTCTACTCTTCTCCTTTGTTTCATCCAGCATATAGCACAAGCCACCATCAGCTATCCTCAGTGTACAACAAATCTCTTTAACCACTGGACCCTGCTTACCTGTCCAGCTCCATCTTCCCCTTACTGTCTACACTGCAGCCACATTGACCTTCTGTCAGTTCCTGGAAAGACCAGCCATACACTCTTGCCTTTTCAGTCCTGCTCATTGTACAGGTCTCAGCTTCCATGTTAATTGCTCTGGGGTTGCTTTCCTGCCCCATGAATCAGGCAAGAGCTTCCTGCTCTGTGCTCCTGGGTCCCCTGCTATTTCCCCATCACAGCCCTCACTGGGCTCACACCCTTGGCTTTGCCTTGATGACTTGTCTTTCCTCCTCCCTGCACGATGTGCTGATTGAAGGCACAGACCATGTGGCTCATTTATCGTGTATCCCCAGAGCCTAGCTCATTACCTGCCATATGGTAAGCCCTGAAAATATTTGTTAGGTGAATGAATGAAGTAAACAGATCCTGGGCTCATGTAACTCAGGACACTCTTGCCTGTCTTGTTCACTGCTGGATCCCCAGTGCCCAGAATAGTGCCTGACACCTAATAAGAAGCAAGGGGTCCCTTGATTTGTAGCACACCAGACTTACAAGACTATTAGACACCCACCCTCCAAGCAGATTCTGCTAAGCTAGTATTTTATATAACCACTCCCACTCTCAACTCCTTAAAAGTCTGTCCCCACTTCAGTTCCAGGAGACAGATTTGAGCCTTGCCACCTGTCCCCTTGCTGGTAGACCTTGCAATAAAGTTCCTTCTTCTCTCAAAATTTGGTGCCACAGTATTGGCTTCTGTGTATATCAGGCAGAGACACCTTGCTCAATAACACTTCTACTGTCTGTTCCACCATCACTAGGGTGTGGCTTTGTCCCCACAGCCCAAGATAGCTCTGGAAGCTCTATCCACTACATGTACATTCCCAGGAGCAGGGTGACAGAAAGGCCTGAAATGTTGGTTTCTGACTCCTTCTTGGTGGTAAAATGCCAGGTGATAAATATCTACCCTTTCTTCCATTCACTCATTCATTTATTCAACAAATGTTTATTGAGCACCTACTATGTGCCAACAGCTGTAATAGGCACTGGAAATACAATAGTCAATGAGATAGACAGAGCCCTTGTCTTTTTGATCCATAGGGCCATAGAAGAGCCATAAGAATAATTTAATCGGCATGGCAATAAGCTCTGTGAAAGAACAGTACAAGGTGTTGATGGATTCAGAGCATGCCACTACAAAATACGCTGCTTTGGCTTATTGGTTATTTTGAATTAAAGGCACTTAAAACATAGCAGGTGCAAGAAGGGCACTCTGACCTTTATTTTTCTTCCTGAAAGCAGGAGATAACACTCATGTGAAAGATGTCCTTCCTATGCCAGGAGGAAAGAAACATTCTTATCACCAGAGACGGGGAGTCGAGGCTGAGAAAAAAAGCAAACAAACCTTGTTCAACTAACACTTACGTTCCTAGTCCCTTTTCCACAGTTAACTTCCCTAGGTCAAACCACTTTGTCTCATCACACTTTCATAATCTACAACTCTTTGTCCAACCTAGTATATAAACTTTCAACCCTAACTGCTTCTTTGGGTCTTCATTTTTCTTGTGAAGGCTCCTATGTACATGTAAAACTTACTAAATAAAATGTGATGCTTAATCTGTCTTACGTCAGTTTAATTTTTAGGTCCAGCCAGAGACCCTAAAAGGGTAAAGGAGAAATGTTACCTCCTCTACAACGTTAAAGAGCATAGACCTAAACAGGAGCATCAAGAAAGAATTTCTTTGGGAAATTAAATTTGAGCTGGAACCTGGGAGATGAGTAGCAATTACTGTGTGGGCAGAAATTTCTTGTTGCCTAAACAATACCCAGTGTCCCTTTCTTTGTTAGTTTTAGAACCTGGATTTTATCCTAGGTAGCAGCCCTCCTTTCTGATCAGGATAGCCAATGGAGTATAAGCAGAAATTCTTGAGTGGAGCTTTCAAAAGCTTTCTTTAAAGGAAATGACTCAGCTAGCAGGGAGGGAGGGGTGCCTTTAGTCTTTACCCTTCCTCCTGTCTGAAAGGCAGAGATGATGGCTGACATTCCAGCAGCCAGATGACCTTGAGGATGGAAATTCTGCACTAAATGTTGAGAGGCACAGTCTCATACACACAGTCTTTCAACCCCTGCTTGATCACATAAGAATGGGCCTTGGGCCTGAAACACTTTCTTAACTGGAACTAAAGAATCTACACAGCTTCTGCTGACCGTATCACCGTGTATGGGAACATCTTTCCCTGTTTCAGGCTCAGCATGTGCTCCTTTGTTCCGCTTGAAGCACCTGCATCAATGGCCCTCAGGCGTGCTCCCAGCTTTCAGTATTTCAGACTCCACCGTGGAGGGGGAGGGGTCCTTCTACCGTGGTAAGAGAGGGGTACTGGTAAGCCAATTGTCCTGCATTGGCTGCCTGGGGACCTGCTGGCCATGGAGGACCAACACCCACCATTGAAGCTGACCTTGCTCTGTCTCATCTCTTTGTGAATAAAGTATTGTTCCATCCAATGTTTGACTGTGTTGCGTTTTCTTTGGTAACTCTGACACCAAGAAGCAGTGGTCAGAAGTGCTCAAACATTTACTCCTGACAGTAGGCAACAGGCGCCACTTGCTTGACGCTAAATACGGTAGAGCAGAAAGACAGAAGTGTGAGCCTCTGATAACTTGATGTAGCCACTGCACCAGCCTTGGTCTTCTCTCACACGAGAAGATAAGTCTCTAATATGTTTAAGCCTCTGTTTAAGAATTTCTTAAACAAAGCACAAAAACCTACATAACTAAGAGATTAATACATTGGACCATACTAAAATTAAGAACTTCTGTTCATCAAAAAGAAAGTGAAAAAACAAGCCACAAACTAAAGGAAGATATTTACATTTGATAAATAAATGTCAAGCAATAGGACATATGGGAGTCTATGAGGAAGCCATTTGGTGTAAAACTAATTCGACCTGAACTTCTTTTTCCAAAAGGGCCTGATGTGGCCGTTGAGCATGCATTGTACATCGGCTTTAAGTATTTACTATGTCCCAAAGACAAGGACAATGCCCTTAAAGATGTAACTCCCCCCACACTGGCACTTTGTTAAAGATAAGTGTCTCTCCCTAGGCTGGGGATTGATTGCTGACCTGCTATGACCACCCAGATCCAGACCACAGCCCTGCTACCTGCAGTGTTCATCAATTGCTGTGTGAATCACTGTGCGAGTTAGGCAATCTCATGACTGTTGCGGAAAGGGACATTCCAATTATATGTGATACGTGCTCTTGGACGGTATATAACCCCCTGAAGACCCCCACTTCTTTGGAGTGCTCCATTCCTTTGTGAAAGGATTCTCCTGGGCTATGTGGTCCTCAGATCTAGCTCATAATAAACTCACCCCAATTTTGATTTGTTGATTGGTTATGGATTATTTGCGTCGACACATTTAACTGCCAAAAGAATGGTACCCAACTTATGTAAAGAACTATAAACCAATTTTAAGAGGAAAACTACAAAATGATAAATGGGTAAAAGGCACTAGCAGACATTTCACAGAAAAGGAAATAGGAATTGCGAATAAACCTATGTAAAAATGCTGCACCTCACTAGCAATTGAAATCACAAGATACCACTTCACACCCACTAGATCAGAAAAAATCTAGCAAAATCAGGGGATGATAAGAATGTGGTAAAATGAGGACGCCTCCACACTGCTGGCAGGAAGAAGGAGGACAATTTGATATTGTCTCACAAGGTTGACTATTTCTATCCTACTTCCCAACAATTCTATTCCTACTTTTCTTTCTACAAGAATTTTTGAACTTGTGAATCAGGAGGCACATTTAAATTTTTTTTCACAGTGCCATTGTTTGGAATAGAAACTAGAAGCAATCCAAATGTCAACTGATGGGAGAATGGACAAATAAATTGTGATAGAGTTACATGATACTGAAGTCATGAAATGGAATGACATTATTACATACAATATTATATACTATTATATGTCAGGGAAATGGATCCAATTGTACATACATAGAACAGCATGGAGGAATCTTAGAAGTATAATATTAAGTGCATAACAGTGTGGAAAGCTCTATCTAGCATAAACACCCTTTAACAAAGCTTAGAGATAGGATGAGGAAGAAGTGCGTCAGTAGCTTCAATGGCATTGGGAATTTCCAGTCTGAGGTTAAGTGTTGGGTTCACAGATGTCTGATTTATTGGTATGCTTTATGAGTAGCAGATACATTATAATTATTCTTCTAACCTAAGAAATAATGCATTTAAAAATAATTTCTAACCATAAAACAAAGTATTTGTGCCTCTGGCCTCTTTAGCTACCTTCCTATTGGTCTCCTTCACGTGCCTGCAAATTCCTCATCAAGAAGTACAGGACCATGGTGGACAACTCCCATGTTTTCTGGCTTCCCAGTACCTCTTACACATTCCTCTTCTGTTTATGGAATGTCCCACCTTGGGAGCCACACCTCCCCAGGAGCAATCAGGGCCTCACTTTCCCAGTGGGTGGGGGCAGGCATGTGGCCCAGCGTCACCAGTCAGCAGCACCCTCAGCAGATTTCATTTCCAAGGAGAGCAACCTGAGAGGGGAGCTCCTGTGGGATCACAGCTGCTGGTAGGTTCAAAGCAAAGGCACCTGATGTTTGGAAGTGGCAGGGGCCACGAGATGGAATTCATGGCGCAGAAGTGCCAGGAGTGTCACCCGTGACAACGGGAGCCTGAGCCGGGGAGGCAGCGCAGTTTCTAACCAGATCAGTCCTGCAGCAGGTCTAGGGCATCGCCTCCGGAAGCTCTGTCCCTCAGGTCTTTACTCCAGCCCTCGTGCCTCTCTTTGAACAAACTCCTCTGCTGAACCAGCCACAGCTGGCTTCCATTGCCTGCACCGAGCCACCAGCAGTGTTATTTTTCTTCTGTAACTCCTTTCTGATAGACTTTACTCCTCGAAATTTTGTATTCCATAAACCAACATGTTCTTTTCACTAGGGATACAAAAAATAAAATTAGATTGATAGACAGATAGACAGATAAAGATAGATAGACAAAGTTTGCACCCTCAAAGAGTACAGTCTTGCCAGGAAGGCAGTGTTAAACACCAATGGTTGGTTATCACAACATCCATTCCCATCCCCCTCCCCTCTTGCCTGCTTATGCCATAGAAACTGGGAAAGATCCAGCAATCCCAGATTCACTTCTGGGTATATATCAGAAGGAAATGAAATCACTGTGTTGAAGAGATATCTGTACCTTAACATTCACGGTAGCATCATTTACAATAGCCAAGTCATGGAAACAACCTAACAACACATACAATGGAGTACTATTCAGCCATAAAAAAGGAAATCCTGCCATTTGCAACAACAAGGATGGAACCTGAGGCATTATGCTAAGTGAAATAAGTCAGACAGAGAACGACAAATACTGTATGATCTCATACGTGGAAGATAAAAAAAAAAATTCACAGAAAAAGAGATCCGATTTGCGGTTACCATAGCTGGGGGATGAGAGGGTGGGGGAACTGGACGAAGATGGTCAAAGTTACAAATTACCAGTCTCAAGATTCATAAGTACTATAGATATAAGGTACAACATGATGACTATAGTTAACATTGCTGTCTGGTATATTTGAAAGTTGCTAAGAACAAATCCTAAAAGTTCTCATTAGAATGAAAAAAATCATTTTTATCTTTTCGTTTTTTTGTATTTGTATAAGATAATGGATGTTAACTAAACTTATTGTGGTAATCATTTCACCATACATGTATGTCAAGTCGTTATGCAGTACACCTTAAACTTCTACAGAGCTGTATGTCAATTATATCTCAATAAAACTGAAATAAAAAGATAAAGAAGGTGGGAAAGATACATACTTCCCACCCCTTGAGCTAGAAGTAGCCATGTGACACAGTTCTGGCCAATGTGAAGTACGTGGAAGTTCACCATGGTGGGTAGGGGACATGCTCCTGGGAGAGTTTGGCTTTTCAGATGGATGACAGAAGTAGGTGATGCCACCGTTTCCGCTTCCTGCTGCTTTGAGTGTGGATGCACTGCCTGAACCCATGTGCAGCCATGAAGGGAAGGTCAGGCGCAGCGCAAGAACAGCAGAGGCGTCCCTAAGCAGCTGAACTAACACCTGGACACAACACCTGTCTCTGGACTTGCTGTTCTGTGGGGACAACACACTGCTCTTTGTTTACACCGTAGTTAGTCCAAGACTCTGCTGCTTGCAGCCGAAAGTGTTCCGAACTTTGTTGGTGCTCAGGGCAGGCCGCCCCAAAATACCCCACAATGGCATAAGGATTATTTTGAATTAAAGTTATTGAAGAAGCAGCTGATGCTAAAAAGGGCCACTTTGACCCTCTCTGTTTCCCTGAAAGCAGGAAATAATCTCCCATGTGACAGATGTCCACCCTGCACCAGAAAGTAGAGAAACATCAAATCACCAGAGACAGGGACTTCAGGGCTGAGAAGCCTGTATAAACAAACCTTGTTTCTTCTTCACTAATTTACTACCCTAAGCCCAAACTCTGCTTAGATTCCTTGCCAATTAAGCACCCAAGCTTAAGTTTCTTTATCTTGTCAATTCCTCACAAGTTTATTGTTTCTCTGCCTACAAGTCTAAAAGCTGATCTATATAAAAGCTTGTTGATTTGATCATTTCTTCAGGTCCCATTTCTACAAGACTTCAGTACATACAAATTAAACTTTTTTCCTCCTGTCAATCTGTCTTGTCAATTTAATTGTTAGACAAGCCAAGACAAGAACCTAGAAGGGTGGAGGAGCAGGATTTCCCCTGGCCAAACAACTTACACAGGGCAAAATTACAAATCAGCAGTGATATATGCTGTGTCAGAGATTTGAATGAGGGCCTCCTTCTTGAAAAGTACAGTGAAATCTTCTCTCATTGTTGTATTCCTTCATCACGGGAGCATTTGAAACTCTTGAGCACTGAGTCAGTTGTGACACTCCTGCCTTCTTTGGCTTTGGTGACATTACACCATTAATGTTATGAAGCTGAGCACAATGACCAACACCAGGGCGACATAAAGGGGCTGTCTAGCCAAGAGCTCTCAGCACACCAATTGATAATACAGGGGGCAGGGCCAGCTCTGTGGGCATGTGATCTGTGTGGCTGCACAGGTCCCCACACTTAGCAGGGCTGGATGCTTGGTTTACCACTCTGCTGTCATCCTCTTGTAACTCTGAATGATTTTGAACAAGGGGCCCCACATTTTCATTCTGCACTGGACCCTGAAAATTATGTAGCCAGACCGCATGAAAGACTCCAAAACACTAATGGACCAAATCGGAAATATAGTGCTCTGGAATTAAAAGATAGAGGACCCCTAAAAGAGGAAGACAAAGGGGACTCTGTGTCGCTAACCGGGACCTGAAACAAAACAGAATCAAGTCTGGCAAGTCAACAAAGTCATGCCAGGCCCGAGATTCAGTCACGTACTCTGTTCTCAGAGAAAGCACAGCTTGTCCCTGATTCTGAGCATTCCTTCTGGGTGGATGGCCAGAAGACTGGTATAGACGATTTTAGAACACCACTACCTACAGGGGAACCAACGAATCAGAGGGCTTTCAAAACAAGCCCTGTGGTCTCTGCTTTTCGCCTTTATACGCTCTGCCCTCCCATACGCACCCCAGAGTATACCTTCAATTTGTTCCAGAGGCTGCATCTCCCCAGTCTGCCAAATACATGAGCAATAAAGCTTTCCTAACCAAATTCCTGTATTCCAGATATTTTTTCGTTGACAGTGCCAATTAACTCAAATTCCCCCCACCTCGACTCTCATATATCTAGTAAAATACAAACTGACTTCCTCCTACTAAAGTACATAATACCCTCAAATGAAAAGCAAAAACTCATCATGATGCTACTGTTCTCTGTGGTTTTTTTTGTTTTTGTTTTTGTTTTTGTTTTGTAAAACCAATGTGCAAGTTTTAAGGAGCAGCTGCAGACCATGCCCCCTGCCTTGAGACCAGCCCTTTTGACAGTTTCTCAGTTTGTAGTCACCAGCAAAGGACATCAAATAATGCTGTGACATAGTGCTTTGCTTTATTATCTAAATTTTAACATTTCCAATATGCCCCACAAGAATTTGTCCAGTTTGGAAAATAAAAAAGAAAACCAAAGTGAGAATGAGAACCAATAATAATAAGTGCAAAATACTTCACGAGCTTGAAACCAGTGTGGAGAAATTACAAATGTTTTGAGTGAAACTTTGTAACGTTATCTGTATATACTAGAATTCAAGTTTATCTTCTCTAACAAAGGTCAAAATAACAGCAGCCTAAACAAGATAGTTATCTGTTTCTTTGTTAAGTAGCAATCAGGATGTTAGCAGTTGGGAAATGACTCATTGGCCTCATGTGGTTGCTGACCCAGTTTCTTTAGGTCTTATGGGTTACAATGTTGCTGCTCAGGCTCCTACCATTACGGCTGCATCCCAGAGAGAGAGAAGGGGAGAAGGGGAAGAGGAAGGCTCACTCTTCCATTTTACAGAAATCTTAAGGCTTTTTTTCAATGAGCCACTTCTTCAGTTTTCCTCCTGCCTCACTAGGTACTACATTTCCTTCTCTGTGCTGCTGCTTCTTTGTTCCAACAACTTTTTGTTGGAGGAAACTACAGCTCAGTCCTTGGTCCTTCACTTTTCACCCCTCTATCCTTTATGGACTCATAGCTTTAGGTGCCATCTTCATGCCAATGACTCCCACATTTCTATCTCCAGGCCAGAACTCTCTCCTGAACTCCAGACTCATATATCAAGCTACTTGCTCCACATCTCCACTTGGGTGTCTAACGGATGTCTCACACCGCTGACCACCCCCTGCAAACCTGCTCTACCCACAGCCTTCCTAGTTGATGGCATCCTAGTTTTCATCCTCGTGGGTGGCAACTTCTCTCTATAGTTCTTCAGGCCAAAAACTGAAGTCATCTTTGATGACTCTTTCTCTTACATCTGTGGAAATTAATGAAAACAAATAAAAGAAATCTTAACTAAATTGGAGTAGGGAAGGCCTGTAGGGGGAGCTCTCACACCCTGTCATGCAAGGCCAGTTACACTGAACAGGAGGAGACCTGAGACTTGCATCTCCAGCAGGAGGTAAAGTAAAACTACTTTCCTACTGGGGGAAGAGTTCTCTCCCTACTGGCAACAGCCCAGACAATGAGAAATGCCACAGCTCAGCCAATGAGAAACCATTGTCTCCCTGAACTGTCACTTTCCCCCAGTGGACTTTCATTTAGAACAGTCATTTAGAACAGTCCCTCCCTACTCCCCCTTTATCTCTATAAAAGCAAACTCCCTTCCTTTGTTTTCCAGATTTGCCTATGGTTTGCCATAGGGTGCACACCCCGAACTGTGATTCTTTTGGCTATTCCCGAATAGACTCGTTTTGAGATAAAATAAGAGGTGAATTTGCTTAAGTTGACACATACAACCTCCAGTCCATGAAGGAGTTCTGATGGCCCTGCTTTTAAAACATACCCAGAATCTGACAATATCTCAACACCTCCACTTGAGCACCCTACTCTGAGCCACCTATGTTATTGCAACAGCCTGACTGGTCTCTCTGCTTCCACCCTTGCTCCCTACAGACTATTTCCAACCCTGTGGCCAGAGTAATGTGTTTCTAGTTAGACCATATATTCCACTCTGCTCGAAATCCTCCAATGGCTCCCACTGCACTCAGAATAAAAGCCAAAGTCCTTAACTTGGCCTGTGGGTCCTACATGGCCAGCCCTCCCTGTCCCTATCCATGTGTGATCTCAACTCCTGCTCTCTCTTTTACTTGCTCCACTACAGCCACACTAGCCTCCTCACTGTTCCTCAAATATACCAGCATGGTCCTGCCTCAGGGCCTTTGCGCTGGCTGTTCTCTCAGGCAGGAAAGCTCTTTCCCCTGAATCCACAGAATTCATTCACTCACCTCCTTCAAGGGTGTGTTCAAATGTCATTTTCTCAATGAGGCCGAATGTGACCACACTATTGAACCCTGCACCACAATGCCCCTTACTCATTGCTCCCACTCCCCTATCCTGCTCTACCTTTTTTCTTAGCACTTATCATCTTCTATCATACTATATAATTTAGTTATTCATTATGCTTATTGTCTGAGTCCCCCCACTAGAATATAAGTGCCGAAGAAACAAAGATCTGTGTGTCTTTTGTCCATTGATGGCTCCCAAGTGCCTGGCGCTTAGTAGATGCCCAGTAAATATTTTTAAATGAATGAATGGATGGAGAAGGCCACGCTTCGAAGTCATGTGTGCACACCTCACTTCCACTCTCTCCTATAGCTGGACCCTAGTCACAGAATCACGCCACCACAAAAGGGATGGAAATATAGTTTTCGTTGGATGGCAATGTGCCTGGCTCGAGCTCCCAATACTAGAGAAAAGGGGGAGACCAATATTGGGGGATAACTCACAGACTCTACCACAAGGTCGGGGTTACCTCTATCCTCAGTGGCCGCAAGTGACTAACATCACCCAGTTATGAACTTGGGGGGGAAATTACAAAATGAAAGATCCCAAGCAAGGTACAATATTATGCTTATGGTTAGTACATGTAGCAAATCCCTTAATTTGAACATAGCAGGAAGTATACAATTTTTATTACTAGAAAATATTTTCCCTCCCTCTCTAAATAAATGTTTTTGTTGTTTTTTTTTTTTGAGTGAATTAACCCTGAGCTAACATCCACTGCCAATCCTCCTCTTTTTGCTGAGGAAGATTGGCCTTGACCTAACATCCATGCCCATCTTCATCTACTTTATATGTGGGATGCCTGCAACAGCATGGCTTTATAAGTGGTGCATAGGTCTGTGCCTGGGATCTGAACCGGCAAACCCCAGGCCACCAAAGCAGAGCATGTGAACTTAACCACTAAGCCACTAGTCTGGTCCCATCTAAATAAATCTTGATATTTTAAACACATCAGCTAGAAGCAGTGTTGAATTACTGGCCTGCTCAAGGTGACCAAGGAAGTGCTCAATGACTGTTACTCATCAATATTTATATGATTAGTTGTCTTCTTGCCTCTCTGACCTCTCCCTGCTTTGCCTCTTTCCTCTGTTGTTCCATCTCCTGACAGAGGCGTCTTCTACAAGCTCTGTCCTCTCCCTTTGCTTCTCTGGCTCTATGATGGCTCCTTTAGGGAAAGCATCACACTCCTGGCTGTTGAACTCACCCTGTGAAAGTCTGCATCATCCGCTCAAGCTCCTTCTGGACTTTTTTCTGTCTGACTTTCCCTTCACTGTCCCATCGTTACTTCAGAGTCAACATTTATAAACTCCCCATCACTCATCACCTTCCTAAGCAAGAAGGGAGTGTTAGGGCCCTAAACAGGGGGATAGGGATGTTGTTTCACATTCATAGCTGTATCTAGCTGATTTTGTTGTAGGGGAGGAAAAATTTCTCCTCTACCCTTCTAAGTTCTTCCGGCTGGTCTAAGAATTAAATTGACATGAGACAGATTAACAGGAGAAAATCAAACAAAATTTAATAATGTATACCTCCAGAAGGGGCTCAAAATAGGCCTCCCCAAGATGTGCCACTTTGGCATGTAAAATATTTTGAGCTAAGGCTATTTGAGACCCTGCAGGCTCTAAAGATTTTGAATTGGGTAACTTGCCCAGAACAAGAGTTATTACCAGAAATAAATTTTTATGATCTCTCCGTATGGCAGGGCAAACATCTAATTAGTGAACCTCTGCTCTTCTTATCATCCTTTGAATTACTCTCCTCCCTTCTGAAGCACCAGGCCCCTATCCCATTTGTTGGCTCAAGATGACATAAATACTTCATTTTGCTTTTCTTTCTTTCTTTCTTCCTTCTATCCTTCCTTCTTCCTTTCCTTTCCCTTCCTTCCTTCCTTTCTTTCTTTTTTGCTGAGGAAGATTTGCCTTGAGCTAACATCTGTGTCAATCTTCCTCTATTTTGTACGTGAGACACCAACACAGCATGGTTTACAAGTGGTGTAGGTCTATGCCTAGGATCTGAACCTGCAAACCCGGGCTGCTGATGCAGAGTGTGTGAACTTAACCACTATGCTACAGGGCTGGCCCCTCATTTTACCCTTCTGTCTTCATCATGTATCTGGGTCTCTGACTCTCTCATGAATGTTGAGTTCCCTTACATACATAATAAATTGGTTTTTCTCCTGTTAATGTGTCTTATGTCATTTTAATTATTCAACAAGCCACAAGAATCAATAGGGAAAAGGAAGGAATGTTCTTCTCCTTTACACTCATGTATATATGGGAAAGACCCAGGAAAACTGAATAAATCAAGAAAACAGCCAAAGCCGCCACCTTAAATATCACCTTCAGCTAAAGACAAAAGAAGATATTGGGGGTGGAGGGAGTTGTTACAGGAGGTTACCAGAAAAAGCACAGTAAATAAGGGTAAGTTTGTTATGTAAATTTAAGCTGCTGTCTTCTGGTTTGATAAGAGTTTCTAGAGATAAGGTCATCCCCCTCTTCCTGGTATAGTGAGGTAGACACCCTTACAAATGGAGTTTTCCCTTACAAATGTAAATGTCTTTACAAAGGGTAACTTCTACTTGGTTTTCAGAGCTTCTCCCATGTCTGCTGTTTCTTAAAAATAACCAGCCTAAAATAACCCTTATGCCAAAGAGACATATTTTGGTGTGACAAATCTGGTCCCCTACACTGCCTTTCATTTCCCAAATGGAGTCAACTAGCAAGTTCTGTCAAAAACTCATGCCTCCAGCCAGCCAGCTTACCTGCTGTTAAAAATAATTTTCCAAAAACAGTTAAAATTACGACTCTCCTACAGAGATGAAAATCAATACATTTTAAAGGTTTTATTTAACTCATGAAGGAAACAAAGTTGTTATAACTACAGTCACGTGTTGCTTAAAGACTGCGATTCATTCTGAGAAATGCATCTTTAGGTGATTTTGTTGTTGTACAAACATCAGAGTGCACTTACACAAACCTAGATGGTATAGCCTACTAGACACCTAGGCTATATGATACTAATCTTATGAGACCACCATCATATGTGTGGTCCATCATTAACCAAAATGGCATTAGGCAGTGCCTGGCTATCGTTCAAAAGAGAATTCTGAGAACCTACATATTATAGATCAAGAATACTGAAATGAATGTGCAAATGGAGACAAAATTGGTTTTTCCACAGGAGATGGAAGGCTGTTAATTGAACTTCTACTGGACAGGACATAATTTGCATATCTATAGACAAGACTCGCATTACATAACAATTTACAGAGTTGTGGAAAAAACGTCCATAGAATCTAAATCAGATAACCAAGAGGAGTCTCTTCACAGTCTTTCTGGACAGTGTCTACTTTTTCACTGAAGCACAACTTTCTCCTACGCTGCTCAGTCTTTCTTCACTCTTGATTCCAATCTCTATCAATTGCACTAAAACATAGCTTTGACTTCTCCCAGCTTCTACAGGGAACATTATTGAGTCCATGTTAACTCCCACATCAATAATAAACTTTTTCAGTCTTTCAAGGTTCTCTTTAATCCAGCATCACTCTCTTTTATAACCACCTTTTATTCCAGGAAGATCTGATCCCTACACCCCAAGCCAAGCTAATGCCCACCCACACACCCCTCCATATCCTGATGGCCTCCTGAATCATCTATATCCTTCTCCTTCTACTGGCTCATTTCATGGCTTTTTATTTTTGTTTCTGCATTTATTATCTGAAGACCACAAGTGGAACCTATCCTCTTCTTTAATTATTGATGCTACATCCATTAGACTTTGATCATGCTCATTCAAACATTTTATGAACACTTTGTTTTTGCACCAGCCACAGTCTAAACTCTAAATCTAGGCAGTGGAAATCCAGAGATGAAAATCATGGCCCTCAAGATGCCTAGGGGAAATAGACAATGAGAATGCGGGTGACTAGCACTTTGAGACAGGCTGCTTTGGGAGCAAACAAAGGACACAGAACGCAGACATGGAATGTCATCGAAGGTTTGCTGGGAGAAGTGGCATAAGACCAAAGTCCTGGTCAAGCATAGAAAGGGGCAGAATGAACTGGTGCATATGCACATATAAGTATACGAAACACTGTCTATTTTAATCTCTTTACAGTCATGATATATCTTGCTTCTACTAGATAATAAAGTCCTTGAGGCCAGGGACACTTTTAAATTCTGTTATACCCCACAGTTTGTAACAGAAAAACATAGTAAACACTTGGTAAACTCAGGGTTTGATGGATGACTAAATCTTACATCCCAAAGTGGTCAACAATACTGTTCCATAAAAACAAAACTTATTTGGGGGCTATGAAGTTTACTTCTCCCTTATCCCATTAGGCATACAAAAATGCCCTGAAGCATTTGAAAATGGTCCTTGAAGCAAAGAAAAACGTAAATGAGGATATGCCAGGAAGTAAGTTATCCCTGGCAGGAGCAGCAGACAGATAAAACAAAGGGAACGTACTCAGCTGAATGGAGACAGTGACAAGTGTAACTTACAGCTCCACGCCACGGTCACCTCTGAAGCTCACAAAGCCCCCCTTCCACAGGGTTGGGGGACAGGTTTTGGCACTCCATCTTTGGGTTGTGGAAGCTGCAGCTTGATCTTGTTGGAAGAAGAAAGGAGCAATAAAGTGAATAAAAAGATTTCTCTCTTGAAGTGAATATAGATAAATTTTGGTGAATTTTCTGAGTTTATGACGCATCTCCGCTTTATATAAAGGAGATGGAGGTAAGAGCGGACCTACCATGCCCAACTTGCCCAGCCTTTGAGATGGGACCATCAAATGTGTGCTCTGTGTCCAGCCCTTGGAGAGTGAAATAGACAGTCCTTCCTGCCAGTGAGATCACGGTGGAGACTGAGTACTTCAGTCAGTGTGCTCCGCACCCCATCCCCATCCACCCTGCACCCCAAGCTAAAATCAAAGATTCAGCTAAAATTAGGATCAGATACGGGCGTAACGTTAAGGATAGTTTTCGTATCCCTACTTGCGCTTCCCAAGTGCTCCGACTTGTGTTCAACCGTGCATTTTTTTACAAAAATATTTAAAATCCTTTAAAAAAGAAAAATATATTAAAGCATTGAGCAGTCTTCACAAATCTCCTATTTTTAAAAATAGTATTTGGGCTAACTGCCTTACAGCGTTGCAACCTGAGACCAAATGGAAGTTCAAAAAAAGGGATAGGAATAACAATAACTCGGTGGGAGCCTCCTCACTACCCAGTTAGATCTCCGCTGTAAATCCACAAGCATCCTCCTACTTACCAAGCTCCCCGGTGCCAGCTCTCCATCCCCGCCCCTCGGGGTACGTCAAAACCGCAACTCCGCCCCCGTCTGGCGCTCTCGTTCGAGAGCCCCGCCTCTTCGCCCAGGTCTCCACGTGCACGTGCACGCGCACGCTGGGCGGGCGTGAACCTCGCAACAGCCGCGAGCCCATCCCGGCACGGCCCTGCCTGCTGGCGCGTGCCCGCCCCGCCCAGTCCCCGAGGCGCACGCACGCTCGCTCGCTCCCGAGCCCCCCCGCGCGCGCCGAGACGCACCCGAAAGCCCCGCCCCCAGGTGCCCGCCCGCCGCGCCCGTGGCGCCTGCCTGCCAAACTGCCCGGCGCCGGCCCCGCCCCCCGGGCGCACGCCCGCTGTCCCCGAAAACCCCGCCCCCCAGGCGCGCGCCCGCCGTCCCCGAAAGCCCCGCCCCAGGCGCGCGCCCGCCGTCCCTGAAAGCCCCGCCCCCAGGCGCGCGCCCGCCCCCCAGGCGCCACGTGCTCCGGGAGGGCGGTGCAGGGGGCAGAGCTGACAAGATGTTCTTGCTGCCTCTTCCGGCTGCCGGGCGAGTCGCCGTCCGACGTCTCGGGGTGAAGCGTTTCTGGGGACGGGGTCTCGCCACCGCAGACATGACGAAGGTGAGAGGCCGGGGCTGGCTCCGGGGGCTGGCTTCAGGAGTCCTGCCCGCGGGCGACAAGGGCTTCGGGGCGGGTCGAGGCCGCGTGTTCCGGGCTCCTGGGCCAAGTTGCAAAAATCGGCTCAAAAGAGAAATTCCTTGTCTTTGCAGAGCTGGGCTTTGGCAGGGGCGGGCGGCGCGGGGCCGCAGATCTCCCCCGAGCATTCTCCAGCCGGCTGCCTGCCGCGGGTGCGCTTTCATCCTTCTTTTCTAAGAGTGCCAGCTAGGATCCGAACTCCGGGCGCGAGAGAATAATCGCTATAGCTAGCATTTCCTGCGCTCCCACTCTGTGCCGTGCCCTTATTTTATGATTTTGTTTAGTCCTCCTAGTAACCCAGGGAAGGACGGTGCCAGTGTTGTTCCCACCTTGGCGAGGAGGAAGCCCAAGTTCGGTGAGGTGAAATGTCCTTAAAGGTCCCGAAGTCGGCCAGTCACGGGACCCGGGCTCCACAGCTCCCTCTCTCCCCATGCCGAAGTGGAAGGCCAGGAAAACACAGGGCCCCCAGGAATAAATTGCCTGAAAGGGTGTCTAGAGAACAATAATGTCTCTTTAGGGAAAAGGGCTTTGCAGAGAGGCCTAATCTCTTTGTGAGATTACAAAGAGAATGTCTTCCAGAGGAAAAGCCTTCACCTAGTTGAGCTCCAAAATATTGTGAAGAAGGTCACTGTTGGGATGGGGAGGATGTGGAAAGCGGAGTGGCTCAGTGGAAGGAGCACAGGCTTGGGAATCACGCTTGAGGACCAGAAAGAAATGACTGTCCTTGGCAAGGAATGTTCTAGATAGGGCTTGAGCTCGGGCCTCCCGCCATATCACAGAAGGTGGAGGGACCAGACTCCTGTCCAGTGCTCTTTCCGAGATGGTGCAGCATCCTACCCAGGTAACAGCGTGTCCTTGCTGCTCAGTTCCCTGCTTGGTTCCATGGAATCCCGGGCAATGGGCAGCCGTGGGAAAGTTAGAAGCTGGAAAAGTCACCAATGCCAAGAAAGCCTATTTTCTTTGATGAAAAAGAGAGAAAGGACACCATTTGGTCTAAGTACCAGTATGATTTTGTGGAAAAGACAAAGGACTGTGAAGGAAGGCATCAGAATTCTCTCTCAGTTCTGTGGCATAGCGACTAATATGTCAGACCAGGTTTCAGTTTCCTTAACTGTCAGACAGGCAGAAGACTACACATTCTTTCCACCTCACAGAGTTGCCCTAAGGCAGAAAACGTTTTTGAAGTGATAAGTTGCTGTGCAAAGGCAGAGAGTGATTTCTTCCTTATTTAGTTGGCTGAGGGGTGAGCCACTAAGTGCTGGGCAGAGTGCTCTGCTCCTGCCCCTCTCTGTGAAGTTGCCTCCTTTTTTTCTCTTTCAGCCTGTGGGTTAGCCAGAGTTCTTAGCATCATTGGCAAGTGCAGCCATTGGCTTTACTGATGTGGCATTCAAGAGGATCTGAGATTTTCATTTGAAGGTTGTAAGAAGAGGGAAAACTTCTTTCTACTCTCCCAGATTCTGTGGCTGGGCCTGAGAATTAGCTGGACATGAGACAGATTAACAGGAGAAAAGCATGCACATTTCACTTGATACTTTTCTTTGTACATGGGAATCTTCTAAAGGAAAATAAAGACCCAAAGAAACATTTAGACCCAAAAGCTTGTATGCCTTTTTAAACAGAGGCCGATCACTTGTGAGGATGTGAGAAGACAAGGGGGCTTGGCTAGGAGCAGTAAATTGTGAGATAGTAACTTGGACGTGTCTGGAGGACACTAATAGAAGCTAGGGGTTATTTTAGTGGGTTGGTTTGTACAAGTCCATTTTGGTGTGGAGTCCCAGTCCCCGGTGATAAGGATGTTCTCTTCCTGGTATAGGGAGAACACCTTTCTCCTGGGAAATTTTATGACCTGCTTTTGGGTAGAAAGTGGGAGGTTAGAGCCCTTCTTGCACCTGCTGCTTCTCATGTGCCTTCAGCTCAAAGTAATCACTAAGCCATCGTGGCATATCTTGGGGCGGCATGTTCTGAACCTCTTTGAGGTCTAACTTGGTTACAATTGGATTTGCTTTCTTAAAACAGCATTCTGCTCTTTCTGTGAAAGTGAAGGAAGCCTCCTTTATGTTGTGAAAGCCTTTCCTTATGAGGGACCCTGAGGACTCACGACAGATAGTCATTTCAGGTTTGCTTTGGCAGGAATTTGGAACATTTAGGTGGGATGTGAATGTAGCGGACTGTCCAGCACCTGCTTCTTTTTGGGCTTTCTTCTTCTGTCTTCAAAGAGGGACATGATTTTGGTGGAATTATTTGCCCCTTCTGCAATTTGGGGACCCTTGAGTCCCTCTAGTGTCTGCTCTAATTATAGTCACTGTTTTTGCTTGTTCTCAGGGCCTTGTTTTGGGAGTCTATGCCAAAGAAAAAGAAGATGTTGTGCCACAGTTTACAAGTGCAGGAGAGAATTTTGATAAATTGGTGTGTGGAAAGCTGAGAGAAATGTTGAACATGTAAGTATTCATCTGTGGGTTCCAGTTTTTTAAATGCCCTGAAATAGAAAGAGAATATTTTTTCTGTGCTTTATTGTTAGTAGATGAAAATTCAGGGAAGTATGAAGTAAGCTGGCCAAGATCTTCTCAATGAAAGTGAAAGTATGTATCTCTGGGGTACATTTTGACACTTTGTGTTTCAGTATGAGTGGGTGTACACTTCTGGGAAGTCAGGCCACTTCAGCCAGTTCATAAACTTTTTGTGAAAGCACCCGATTTCCTCAGCCCACCCTCCTGGCTCGAGTTCACTTCTCCCCACCCTCGTCCTACCCGCCTGCCTTCCCACCAGCCTCTCTACCTTCTTTAACTCCCCTTCACTTTTTGGGGAAAGCATCTCCGTGGACTAGTTCAAAACAGCCTAGGAGGCATTCTCCTTTCATTCCATGCCTTGAGTTTCAAGAGCTTCTCAAATCTTAAAGTACACGTGAATTGCCGGGGGACGGAGTCAGAATGCAGATTCTACTTCAGTAAATCTGGGCGAGGCCTGAGATTTTGACCACTCTTGGATTAGCCAGGGTCTGGTGAAGGTAGAGAAACTGGTTTTTCCAAGTCCTTTTGAGCTGCAGACCACATTTGGCAGAAACAGAAGTATCAGCATAAGCCACTGCAACTACATATTATTCAGATTATAGATAACCGATTAGAATCTAATAGATACAATGTAGTAAGTATAGTAATTATGTCATCGTTGGATAACAATTTGCATCCCCTCTCAGTTACCAATCTTTCACCAGTAGACAGCCTACTCAAGTGCTTGACTAACTCATTAATCCAAAAGTTACCTTGGTGGAGTGCAGAACAAGCTGGCCTTCTCGACTGATAACTATCAGCTTCAGCGCCAGGGCATCCTGTCCTCTCGCTCTAGTTGTGCACTGCCACCTGTTTTGTTTGGAAATTGCCCAGTATCTCCTCTGTAGATAAGCCCCCACAAACACCCTCCCAGCTGAGCACACTGCAGTCAAGTCAGCCACTTTGATTAGTTGTGTCTTTTATTAGAAAGATTTAAGATTCAGGTGAGCCCTCATCTGGTGCTCCGCTCTCCTCTGCAGTCACGGGTTACCCATCCATGGCATTGCTTTCCACATTTGTTTTCAAATAAGTTTGTATTAAAACTAATCTGGAAGTTTGCTAAATAGCTTTTGAGCTAGAATTAGAAGTGCTGCATCTGAGAAATCTGGCCTGAGAGAATTCTGTTTTTTGATAAAAACGTAAATGCAGCAAATTCACAGAAGCAGCAAAGTATTACAATCATGCTAACGGTATGTATGTGTCACCTCTCAAGGGAGCAGAGCAAACTAATTTTTTTTTTAAAGATTCTATTTTTTTTCCTTTTTCTCCCCAAAGCCCTCCAGTACATAGTTGTATATTCTTCGTTGTGGGTCCTTCCAGTTGTGGCATGTGGGATGCTGCCTCAGCAAGGTTTGATGAGCAGTGCCATGTCCGTGCCCAGGATTTGAACCAACGAAACACTGGGCTGCCTGCAGCAGAGCACGCAAACTTAACCACTCGGCCACGGGGCCAGTCCCCAGAGCAAACTAATTTTCAAAACAATTATTTCCTCTTGTTTCAGATCTGGACCACCTCTAAAGGCAGGCAAAACCCGAACCTTTTATGGTCTGCATGAGGTATGAGATGATGATAAGGTTTATTCGGCAAACCCTTAGTAAGCATCTACAACGTGCCAAGTACTATGGCTGCATAGTCGTGCAGAAAACTTTGTATCAGATTGTAGGTATACTCTTATCACAGTATTAAGGCTTAAGTATTATTTAAGATTGAAAAGAGGCAAGTTGCTGTCAAAAAGTCCTGCCTCTCTTGTAGTCAGTCTACAGGCTTTCTTGTTCAATGGCCGTAGTCATGGCACTGTCTTACATAGGAGAATTACTTGCAGGATTATTCTCACTCTACCTTTCAAACACACACGTTATAAAATTTTACCAACATACAGGGCTAAAAAAAACCCAACAACCAAATTTTCCCAGTGATTTTGCCCTGTTCAGGTAGTTGTGTGGGAGCTCATGTTCCATTTCCTGCTGGAAGTGAAAGCTTTAAAGACATAAGCAGCTGATTTTGTGTGTTTGCGAGACAGGACTTCCCCAGCGTGGTGCTGGTTGGCCTTGGCAAAAAAGCAGCCGGAGTTGATGACCTGGAAAACTGGCATGAAGGCAAAGAAAACATCAGAGCTGCTGTTGCAGGTTACTTTACTTTTGAAGTTTAATATTGATAATGATTCCTAAGGATCTACGCTTTAAGATTGTCTGTGTCCCCCTCTCTTTATCTTCTTACCGTCACCACCCCTCCCACGTACACACAGAAGTGTCTCGTCTTAACAACTAGTCCATTTCCCTTACGCAACGTGCTTGGCCTTATGTTAGATGTGGAAGGTTAGTTCATGGAACTTTATTTTTATATGTCTTTAGCTTCTGTTTGGAGGTTTCTCAACCCTTTGTTCACTCTTGCAGTCTTGACCTTAGAGCTCTATTTTATCAGAAAGTTCTAAGATGTGGATCTTTTCTTTTTGTAATGCAACCCCAATGTTGCCCAACTTTTAAATCACATGGAGTCGTCATATTTAGAAATCAGAGAAAATGGATGCCAAGTGTGGAGTGCTTTTCTGTCACTAGTTACCAAAGGTGTGTGCCTGTGCCGCTTTGTCACTTGGATGGTGTAAACATTGAGGTACATGCCATTGGGTCCCTTCAGAGCTGAGCAGCAGGACGAAGCCCGCGCTGCAGAGGCTGTGGTTAAAGATACTTTGAAAACATTGCTGAGGTGTTGATAATTAGCTTGTTTGACTGATGTTTGGCCCTGGATATATCATGCCTGTTTGTTAAATTTACTTTCAGTGTTCATGTTGAGTGATTATTTCTTAACTCTTATTTGGGCGTTTTTACTGACCTGATCTTAATAAAATGCTGGGCTAATAATGGACTTTGCTCAGTTCCTTAAATATCATTTCAGTGTCATCATTTCTCTGTCATTTTTAATTTGGTAAACCTTGGTGGTTGGAAGCTTCATCAGGAGATCTTAGAGTTTCAGAAGTAATCCTTATAATAGCAGGCCCTTCTGAGGGCCCACTCTGCGAGGAGCTAGCCCGGTCAGTCATGTTATCCATCAGTCTGTCCTCGCGCTACCTGTGAGGTGTGTGTACATCCTCACTTCACATAAGAGGAAATGGGGGCTCAGAATGGTCAAGTGTCAGAGCCGAGATTTGAACCCCAGTCCTGTTGTTTCCCCAGCCCACCACACCATGCCTCTGCCTTCTGCTATTTGTGTTGTCTCTGACTGACCCTGATTTTCTGGTTCCTCTGTCCTTTTGAAGCGGGATGCAGGCAGGTTCAGGACCTGGAGCTCTGTTCTGTGGAGGTGGATCCCTGTGGAGATGCCCAGGCAGCTGCGGAAGGAGCAGTGCTGGGTCTCTATGAGTATGACGACCTCAAGCAGAAAAAGAAGGTGGTCGTATCGGCGAAGCTCCATGGAAGGTGAGGGAACGAAACCAAGATCAGGGTTGCATTCCCTGGCATTCTCACAGAGGGGCCTCTTGGATATGAGCTGCCTGCTTCCCAGTCTCTGGCATGGCTTGTCTCTGACCTCCCCATCGCCTTAGCCACTTTAGGAGTATAACTGTCCCCACATTCTGCTTCCAGCTTTCATCATATGCATGTTCCCCTGTGACTCCCTACCGGTTACTGGGTTACTGCTGGTAACTGGGAAGCCAAACCAAGTTGGCTGCCTGAAGGAGGAGAGAGCAAGATGACAGACAGGTCCCAGCAGGATTTGATCCCGATAATTTCCATTTAACCAGCATCTGCTGGCACCATGCTACGGGCCAGAGAGGCACAGAGGCAGGGCTATGGTCTTTGCCCTCAGGATCTAGTAGGGACACTCATCCTTCAGCACATTTGTTGAGCACCCCCTCCATTCCAGCCCTGTTCCGGGTTCTAGGAGACGAGATCCCTGCTGTCATCAACAGTCAGTGTGAGACCTTCAGGAAGTGGTGCTGTGGGGACAGTGGGGGGTCTTGGCACAGCCTGCTGGTTGGCAGCTGTGATGTAGTGGTTAAGAATGAGGGCTCTGTGACCAGTCAGCCTGGCTTTCCATCCTGGCTCAACCACGTACTCACTGGGTGACCTCGGTTAAGTGACGGAAATCTCTCTGTGCTTCATTTTCTTCACTTGTTTAGTTGAGTTGTTATTCTCATTTCATAGGGCTGTTATGATGATCAAAAGACAGATCCTGTTAAGTGTGTGGCACAGGGTAAATCCTCTAAACACTGAGTTGTTATTTTCTCCATTGCTACACTGGCCGTGTTAACTCCTGTTGTGCAGAAGGAGAGCTAGGATCGTGAAGCACATGCCTTTCTCCTTTCTCTCCTAAAGGTGATCCTTGCCCTCTGGTGGGTTGGAGTGTAGAGCCTGACTCAGGCAAAAAGAAGGCAGAAAGGCCTTGACTTCCACATCAGGCGTGTTACGGGACGCTCGCTCTACCGTTAGCACTGGGGCTGCATCATTCCTGGAGCAGTGAAGGAGGCCGAAACGGGTCTTTCTGTGGGAACCTTTCCATTAATTTGTGTGGTGAATTTAGTGCTTCCAAGACCCATCAGTGCAACCCTTTTTACACAGATGAGGGTTCTGAAGTGAAATGCTGGCCAGGATCTCCTCCAGCTTGGCTCAGTGGGGGCCATTTTCTCTAGCTCTTCACACCCTACTGTCTGCCATCTGGGTCAGATCACAAAGAATGAATCCAGCTCCCACGTGCCCATCGTTTTTCACTTGTAGTCCTCTTTTGTTTTTATAAGGTAAGAGCCCCTTTTAGCTGTGATGTGGTCAGTGTTCTGGAGAGGTTGTGACAGTGACGCTGTGCTTTCTTCCACCAGCGGGGATCAGGAGGCCTGGCAGAAAGGATTCCTCTTTGCTTCCGGGCAGAACTTGGCACGCCACTTGATGGAGGCTCCAGCCAACGAGATGACGCCAACCAAATTTGCCAAAATTATTGAGAAGAATCTTACAAGTGCTAGTAGTAAAACAGAGGTCCACATCAGGTAATTCAGGACTGTGTCATAGACTCATAGGATGTCACAGCCGGAGGAGCCTTAGAGGTCCTAAAAAAATCCAGCTCCCTTGCTATTCAGAGGAGTAACTTGAGACCAGGGAGCTGAGACGAGACCCGCCAGCAGCCACACCTAAGCTGGGATAAGGGCTCAATTTCAAGTTCTTTCCATCATATCTTTCCTTTCTTTTTGAGAGAGTGCCGTGGCTTCAGACTACATGGGGCATGTGTGTGTGTGTGTGTGTGTTTTATAATAGCTTTATTGAAATGTAATTCACACACCATACAATTCACCCATGTAAAGGATACAATTCAGTGATTTCCAGTATATTCACAGAGTTGTGCTACCATTGCCACAATCAATTTTAGAACATTTTCTTCACCCCAGAAAGAAACCTTGTACTCATTAGCAGTCACTCCTCCTTTCCCTCCACCCCAGCCATCAGTTGATGGACATTTAGGTTGTTTCTACCTTTTGGATCCTATGAGTAATGCTGCAGTGAGCATTAGGGTACACGTTCTTGTGTTGATGTATGTTTTCATGTCTCTTAGGTGTGTACCTAGGAGTTGAATTGTTGGATCAAATGGTAACTCTTTAATTTTTGAGGAACTGCATTTTGTTCTGATAAATTCTTCTTATCTTTTCTTGACACAAGTGGAGAACACAGCACGCCTAGCTTGGCATGGTTTGAGAATCCCTGCCTCGTAGATTACGTGAGCTAGATGCCAGAGCTGGTGTTCTCAGACAGTCCTGAGGTGTCGCAGTCGGCAGCTAGGCTGTTGGACGCAAAAGCCTGCCCCTCCAGGTTCCGTTACCATCTTGGGATCGCTCAATAACCCTTTAAGGAAACCGACTCTGAGCATTTGGGGATTTATAATTAAAATAAATCAACAGATGTTTATTTAAAGAATTCTTCCAAGTTGTTTCTCAAGGATTTAAGAGAATTCATCAGTACCTAATTGTGGTTAGAGCTCACATTTTTCAGGAGAACCTCGATGGTCTAGACAGAGTGAAGAAAAATGTGTCATCTACAGAAAACACAGCACTTTGAGCTTGATAATGTTTTTGGAATGATTAGCATATATTTAACTGGTAGCAGTGTTTAGACTCTATAAAGGTGTCTTGGCAGAGATTATTCCTTGTTTGAGGAGACGCTGGAGCCACTTTGTGTTGGCAAGTTGTGGCGTGGGCTTACACATCAGTGACAGCAACTCCTGTGTGCCTGGGAGTTTGGCATACAAGGATGGATGGCGGTGGTCCTTGTCCTCAGAGAAGCGAGGACCTTGTAGGAAGGAATAGACAGGTAAATGGGGTGGGCAGAGGATGCTGCAGGAGGAGAGAGGCGAGGAGGATTGTGGAAGAGTTGAAAAGGCCTGCCAACAAAAATGGTGCCTAGGCAGAGTCTGGAAGTTTACTTATAAGTTAACAGACCAAGAAAGTGGGGCAGGGCATTTCAGATGCAGAAGCACACGTGCAGCCGCTCCTTGGGAAACTGCGAGGCCTGTGGCTGAGCAAAGGGACGGTTCGGCCAGAGACGATGTGTGTCAGGTGGGAGGAGTGTAACCCATTAAACCGAGACAGCTGCGCCAGCCCTGCTCCAGTGTAGCTGGGTACAGATCGAAGAAATACAGACACTACTTCCAGATGGGCAGGACTTTAATAAAACACCCAGTAGTGAGTTTATGATTAAAAATACCCACGTCATACAGCCTTACTTCCTTTGAAGTGATTTTTAAAATCGTTCTATCTTCCATTTTTATATTCTTTTCCTTCTGAAGTTTGGTGGCCATCTCTCCATGATGCAATCCTTGTTTAATAGTTCTAAGAAATGGATAGGCAAGTGCAGGAGGAGCATTCCTTGAATATGGTTGTTGCTCGTCTGTCTGGAGGAGTGTAGGACTTCTCTCCTGGCCTAGTTACTGTGGCCAGAAATCCATACAAAGCCCTTTTGTACCCCCAGCCTAGAATGAATAGGGATACGGCATTTGTTTTCTGTTGGCACCGAGGACTATTCCCATTAAATTACCCCATTGATCCTGTGTTTATTACATACTAATTAGCTTTCCTGCTTCAATCAGATAGCTCAAACTGCAATTGAAACTGTGAGAAATAGCATGACAACATTGAAAAGATCGAAGTCCAGCAATTCTGAAAAAGCCAAGAAATAGGATATTTTAGCCCAATCAGTGGAGTGTAGTTTTGTTGGTTGTTTTGCTGGTTGTTTGGTGGTTTGTTTTCATGTTTTTTTATTTTGCTCTTTTAGAAATACCAAAAATAAAACAGTGGACCCCTTAAGTATCTCTAAGAACCCTTTATGGTCTCAGAGCCTTGCTAATTTCATCTTTAAATTAAAACTTTAGAAATATCTAAGTACGTTAGGGAAAAAAATCAAGTAATAATTATTTACTGACTGTGCACTATCGCCTGACATTACATTACGTTCCATGTGTGGATTCTCTTGGTAATTCTTTACATAATCTTCTGATGGAGGTATCATTGACCTCATTTTATAGATGAAGAAGTAGGCTCAGAATCATGTGACTGTCCCAAGAATGTCCAGAAGGCGGATGGGACGGGATAATTGAAGGCTTAACTTGTCTATATTTTAAGTGCTTGTATGTTACACTTTTTTACACACAGATGAGCTTTTTCTAAGTTATTTTGGAATAGAGATAACAAAGTGTATTTACTTGTTTCCCTTTCTGCCTTATAGACCCAAGTCTTGGATCGAGGAACAGGAAATGGGATCCTTCCTTAGTGTGGCCAAAGGATCGGATGAACCTCCAGTCTTCTTGGAAATTCACTACAGAGGCAGCCCTGATGCAAGTGAACCACCCCTGGTGTTTGTTGGGAAGGGAATTACCTTTGACAGGTACTTCTTTATTATATCTGTGCTTTGTATTTGGGTGAATGCTTTGTGTGCACTTGTATCATTTGGTGTAAACAGTCAGTGTGCTGCATCACAACGTTTTGGTCAGCAATGGTGGTCCTGTAAGATTAGTACCATTTAGCCTAGGTGTGTAGTAGGCTATACCATTTGGATTGTGTAAGAACTGAGGGGAGGAAGAAGTTTTCTTTTACCCTTCTAAGTTTTTCTGGCCGGTCTAAGGATTAAATTGACATGAGACGGATTAACAGGAGAAACACAAATAAAAGTTTAATAACATGTATACATGGGAGAAATCCAGGAAAACTGAGTAACTCGCCCTAATGGCCGAAGCCCTTACTTTAAATACCGTCGTCAGCTAAAGACAGAAGATGTTGGGGTTGGGGAGAGTCAGGGACTTCACAGGGAAGGAAGGCAATTCAGAGTAGGTGAAAAGGAAACATAGGTAGGTTTGGGAAACAAGCGTTTGGCCCCACAGAAACAAGAACAGAGGGGAGCCCAATAAACAGGCTTCTGTAGGTTCCTCCCTGTCCACCACCCAGTTCATGCTATGCCAAGGTGATAGCTCGCTTCCTGAGGCAAGTTTTTTTATCTGAATTCTTTTAGGTGGTTAAGGGGGAGGAAACAACAAAAACTTTGTGTTTTGCTTCTTAAAAATAATCAGCCTCAAATAATCCTCATGTTAAAGAGTTACATTTCAGGGTGGCAGATTTTGTTCCTCTTTAGTACACTCTGATGTGTACACGATAACGAAATCACCTAATGATGCATTTCTTACAACATGTCCGTGGTATCTCTGTCGTTACGCGACACATGGCTGTAGTTTGCTTCACAAGCATGGTGTTTGGTCAAATCTTACTTGTGACTTTAAATGTATTAAGCTGCCACTTATAAAATGCTGAACATGTGTCAGAGACTCTATTAGGCATCTTAAATATATCAGCCCTGATCTTACCGCTAGGAGCAGGGCATTGAGGAAATTCCTAGGTCAGGAAACTGTGACTGTGAGGGGTTAAGTAATTTGTTAAAGCCCCATAACTAGTAAATAGAGTCAGAGGTCAAACTCAGGTCTTTTTTGAAAATGTCTTAAACTCTTTCCGGCACACACTTTGATTCTCCTCTGTGGATATTAAACCGTTCCCATGTGGATAGTGGGGGCCCAGCTATTTGGATTATGCTGTCCTTCCTCGGCTTGCTTCAGCTTACTCTTTTTAGCTGACCAGTCTAGCTCCCATTGATCTTATTAAACCGTAAGTATTCCTTAGAATTGGAAACTCTTTCTGGTTATTTGAACCAAGGAGAAGCCGAGTTGGAAACGGTGGTATAGGTCAGTATTTCCCATGGAAAGCGTGTGCTACTGAATACTAGCATCAGGGTTGCTAATTAAGTGTGAGACTTAAAAAAGGATTACTTGACAAAAAAACTAGGTTAGATAAAATTTACCCTCAAGTGTTCAGTTCAGTGAGTTTTAACAAATACAGGCACCCATATGACAGCCACCACCATCATGAAAATAGAACATTTCCTTGGCCCCCAAAAGCTCCCTTGTGCCTTTCTGCAGTCATTCCTTCCCCACCTCCTGCCTCAGACAACCGTCATCTTTCTGTTACTCTAGATTGGTTTTTACTACAGAAATTCATATGCATGGAATCTTTCATGTTTGGCTTCTTTCTTTCAGCATAATATCTTAGGAATTTATCCATGTTGTTGGTCATATCAGTAATTTGTTCTTTTTATCACTGAGTAGTATTCCATTGTATGGAAATAATCAGAACTTCTTTATCCATTCATCCGTTGATGGAAATTTGGGTTGTTTCCAGTTATGGATTATTAGTAATAAAGCCAAGATCATCTACAGACCTTTGTGTGGATATCTGTTTGTCTTTCTCTTGGGTAAATACGGAAGAAAGGAGTGACTGAGTTGTATGATGATGGCATGTTTAACTTTATAAGAAATTAGCAAACTTTTTAAGTGGGTATACCATTTTGCATTCCCACCATCAGTGTACGAGGATTCTCTTTGGTATTGTCTGTCTAATTCTAGCCATTCCCGTGAGTGTGTAGTGGCATCTCTTTGAGGTTTATTTGGCATTTCTCTGACTAATGATGTTGCACATTTTTTAATGTGCTTAGTGGCCATTGGTATATCTTCTTTAGTGAAATGTCTGTTCAAATCTTTTGCCCTTTTTTATAGGAGTGTTTGTTTTACTGAGTTACAAAGTTTTTTTTTTTAATATATTCTAGATGTAAGTCCTTCATCAAATAGATATGTTGAAAATATTTTCTCCCCACTCTGAGTCTCGCCTTTTCGTTTTTTTGAGTGGTGTCTTTCAAAGAGAAGTTTTTAATTTTGATGAAGTGTAGCTTATCAACTTAATTTTATAGTTCATGCTTTTCTTGCCCTGTTTAAGAAATTATTGCCAGTGCCAGGGTCTGTGTTTTCTTTTGTAAGTCTTATGGTTTTAGCTTTTAAGGCTATGATCTGTTTTGAATTTCGGTGTATGCTGTGAAAAGCATTGAGGCTTTTTTCTTTTCTATTTGGGTATCCATTTGTTTCAGCAAAATCTGTTGAAAACACTGTCCTTTCCCCACTGAACTGCCTTGGCACTCTTGTTAAATCAGTTGACCATATAATTGTGGGTCTTTCTCTGGACTCTGTGTCCCACCACCAGGACTTTGTGACCGGACGTTTTGATGACTACAGCTTTGTCTTGAAATTTAGTAATAGGAGCCCTCCAGCTTTGCTCTTCTTTTTCAAAATTGCTTTGGCTGTGTGCTTTACATTTGCATATCAGTTTTAGAATCTGCTTGCCGTGTTTTACACACATAAACAAAGCCTACTGGGATTTGATTGAGATAGATTTTGATTGAGATAGATTGAGATAGATTATTTTTTTTTTGGTGAAAATTTGGTAGTCGTGTGGGTAATGAAATAAAGGGAGTAAAACTGATATAGGAGACCTGAATATACATGAGCCATGGCAAACATCTGAATGACAGATGGTGGGAGCCTCAACTAGGATGGATGTAGTAGAAAAGAAATAGGTGGATTCGAGAGAGGTCTAAAAGGTGAGCAAAGATAACTGCTGATCTTTGACAATGGTTACTTTAGAACGATGGTCTTCTGAATAGAGTGGAACTCCCAGAGCAGAAAGGGCCTTGCGATGGATGTGGCTAGTGGACAGAGGGACAACCTCCTGCACCAGCATGCTCCCTTCACCCCCTCCAGGGGTTATCCTTGGACTTCCTGGACCAAGAGTATCTTTCTTTTCTTATTCTGAGCCCCTGGATAGTCTTTAATTCTGGGTGTAAATGACAGCCATCTAATTACCAAGTGCTTCTGAGGTGAGTGAGAATTAGGATCTGCTTTCTAAGGAGAGCAGACCCCAGGCAGGGAGTAGATTCTCCAGAGTCACCAGGGCAAGTCAGCAGCAGAGCTCGACTAAAACTCAAAGCCGAAGCTGCTGGCTTTGTAGGCCTGTGAAGCAAGTCACTTCTAGGTTCTTACAAACCAGAAGCAGGAAAGTCAGCAGGTACTTATGGAAGCCTGCTTTGGGGTAGAAGGTGGGTTTCTTGCTGATTGAAACCCTTTTCAGCTCCTGTGGTTGAGCGCCATCTCCAAGGCTGCGGGGCAGCCCCAGCTTCCTTCCCCTTGCCATCAGCAGGATTTCCCACACCTTGGGGACGTCGGAGGAAATTGTTCTCCCTCCGTCCTTCTCTGGGTGGAGAGGGGTCCTCCCAGTCTTCCATGAGCTTGTCGGCTTCCCTTAATAGTTTATGACCTTTAGATTCAGTAAGTTGATCGATTCGTAAAATTTGCTGAGAAGACAAATCTGGGTAGGGGTCAGGAGTTAATGAGCTAATACAGAGATGGAATTTGAACAGCACTGATTGTATGGTGTAGTGATGTTTCCAGTGGCACGGCTTAAATTTCATTCAAATAGAAATAAAATGAGCTAAGACACTCATCTATATTTTTATAAAGACTGCAGCATTGTCTTTTAAAATGTTGAAATTATTCAGATTCTCAATTTAGAAATTTGCGTTTTCTTTGCCAGGTAAATGGTGCTTTTATGTGGCAGTTAACCCTCAGCTTATATGTTCTTTTTTAAGAAAGTGATGTTGGCTCTCTTCTTTGGTATCAATATTGCACAGTGTCCTTTTCCCCCCAGTGGTGGCATCTCCATCAAGCCTTCTGCAAATATGGACCTCATGAGGGCCGACATGGGAGGAGCTGCCACTATATGTTCAGCCATCGTGTCTGCTGCCAAACTCGGTCTGCCCATCAACATCGTAGGTGAGTGGGCAACGGAGTGTGTGTTGGAGAGCTTCTGGAATCCACTCACATGGTAGAACTGAGATAACAAACATGACTTTCTCTACCCTGAAAAGATCAGGAAACGGTTTTTAAATAGCTTTTCATCAAGCAGCAGCTGTTTAGCTAAATGTTTTCTAGTCTGAACTGATCGAGTTCAATGTGTTTTGCAATTGTGGGCTGTAGCTAGAATTGATTTGTTGTACTTCCACAAAAAGTGGTTAGCAGTCAGGGGCGCATAATGTCGAGTTCGTGGTTTACTCCAGTGAAAAATGCTCAGTAGTCAGGGTCGAAGGGCATTGCCAGCTCGTTTAGTGATTACCTCATAGGGGTTGTGGCCGATTCAATGGCGTGATACTCAGAAAATGCCTGGGACTGGAAAAGTGCTCAGTACGTGCAGCTCTTTGTGTCATTCAGGATGCCAGACACAATGCTGGGGGTGTGTTTCAGAGGAATGTGCGAGTGGGGGGAGACTTAGGTTGAAGGGCTTGTCCGGTATCACACCCATTGCATGGGAAGGTAGACTTGGAATCCAGGTCTAGCTGACATGTGTCCCCCTCCGCACCTTTACAGTCATAGTCCTTTTTTGCTAAATTATTTGAAAGTAGGTTGCAGACATCATGACGTGTCATTCATAAATACTTTAGCATGTGTCTCCTAAGAACAAGGACATTCTGTGTAATGACAGTACCATTATCATTTCCAACGAGTGGTATAGTAACCTAATTCAAACTTCCCAGTTGTCTAAAAAAGTGTTCCTTTTATATATGTGGCTACGCATGCACAAATACTTATTTCTATTTATTTTTTAAATTGGGGAGCCAGTCAAGGATCACACATTGCGTGTGGTTGCTGTGTCTCTTTAGTTTTCTTTAATTAGAACCCTATTTCTGCATCTAGGCTTGTCTTGTGATGTTCCATGATTTGGGTTTATTTGGTTGTTTCTTTGTGATGGAATCAGGTTAGACCTCTTTGGTAAGAGTGTTGCATGGGTGACATGTACTCCCTGTTGCTGATGTACAGAATTTCACTTGGCTCATTGGTGATGCTCAGTTTGATCTCTTGATTAAGGTGATCTCTGTGACCGGCATGCTTCTGATGGCCCACTGGTGGCCTCTGTTCCAGGGGTGGCATATTTGGACCCAGCACATCCCATGTTTCTTCGTGTATTATTTTCCAACAGGTTTGGCCCCTCTTTGTGAAAATATGCCCAGCGGTAAGGCCAGCAAGCCTGGGGATGTCGTTAGAGCCAGGAACGGGAAGACGATACAGGTTTGTAAGCGGAAGACACAGCCCTCCCCGTTCTGGTATTTGGAGCCCCAGGAATCTCAGAGTAGCTACGTGAACACACCTTGAATGAGTGCAGAGCACAGGCTCCATGTAGGGGAGGACTTTATTGCAAGTAGCTTTTCATGCAAAGTCAAAAGTATTTCTTTATGGGGATTTTAAGAATGCCTTTCTTATTGTTCCTCCTATTTCCTGTATGCTGTACACGCAAATTACCACGAATTTGTAGCCAGCCCTGCAGAGCAGGGCAAAGCAGTAGAAGTGTGCTCTGTTTTCTGGATACACCTGTGCTGTGGTTAAATTTTTCCATTTGGGTGCTCAGGTGGAAAACACTGTCCTGAGTCATGGACTCTCACTCCTGGGGCACGTGTATGCACGCAGGCTGCCCATACTGATTGGACCTCTAGTTAAGAGAAGGGACTGTAGGATAGGTAGAGTTGCTGAAGTTGCAAGAGTTCTTGTGTCTGGACTCCAGGCTGTCACTTCGCTGTAACTTTCTTAAACTCTAGCCTGTTTGTTTTCAGAAATCTTGACATTTTTCCCCACTCTGTTTAAACTTGTTGGTAAAATGGATCAGACATTTTCTATTTATTTCAGCTTCCAAAGTCATTAGCATTCAGTCAGCAGCTCTAGTTCAGAGATTATTAAATTATATTTGCTCTTCAGATTAAATATATTCCTATTCTAATTGAAGTATGTTTTTGATACTCAATGACAGACATCACACTAGCTTTTTCTCACTTTTAAATTGAACGTTGTCATGAGTATCTAGTTTTGATATTCATTACTTGTATTATCTTTTATCTTACCTTTTTCTTTTTGATCCTCCTCTCCAGGTTGATAACACCGATGCCGAGGGGAGGCTCATACTGGCCGACGCACTCTGTTACGCTCACACCTTTAACCCACAGGTCATCATCAATGCCGCCACCCTAACAGGTGACACAGTATGCTTTTCCTGCTTTTGTTTGAAGAAAGTCTTATCTGTTGGCATAGAGTGCACACATTGTATTCAGGGCATTTTACTGAATTTGGCTTGCTCCATTTACATTCAAAGATCTTTCTCCAAAGGAAATGCTCTGCATTTGTAAGCTGTTTTGAATATTAGGTTTGTTGTTTTGAAACATTCCAGGCTAGGGGCCGGCCAAGGGACCGAGTGGTTAAGTTTGCACACGCACTTTGAGGCCGAGGGTTTCGCTGGCTCGAATCTTGAGCCGGGACCTGGCACCAAAGGCCATCAAGCCATGCTGAGGCCATGTCCCACATAGCACAGCCAGAAGGACCTACAAGTAGAATATACAACTATGTACTTGGGGGGCCTTTGGGGAGAAGAAGACAAGAGAAAAAGAAAGATTTGCAACTGTTGTTAGCTCAGGTGCCAATCTTTAAAAAAAAAAATTCCAGGCTATACCTTTAAAAAAGGAAATAACAAGTAGGTCAGATCAGCCCATCCAGAGTGACATCTAAAAATGACACTAAGAGATGTTTTCTGGTACAATTACTGTGTGGTACAGATCTGAAAAGATTAGTGATAAATCCCAAAGCCAGTAGTTGTTTTTTATTAATCATAATGTATCTGACACCCACTGCATTTTCTGAACTTTTTGTACTTGATATTATAAAGAAATCAAAACATTTTGGGGAGGTAGCAAGATCCTCATTGAACAGAGGCAGCACAGTGCATGTGTGGTATGAAGCAGGAGCTTTAGGCCAACTGGGGGTGACACCCAGCTGTGCCACTTACTAGTCGGTCAGCCTTGGGCAAGTTACCTGACCCCCCTGAGCATCAATACCTGGGGACAAGTCTGTGTGCCTCACCGAGTTTTTGGAAAGCCTCTTTAATACACTGCCTGCACATGGCAGACGCCGGTAGAGTAACGAGTGAACTCCTAAAGGGGTGACAACGAGCATTGCCTTATTGCAGAAACCCAGTGTTCATAATCTTCCGTCGAATAGTTCTCTTTCTAGGGATTCATTCTGTGTCTGCCTCTTTTAAGGTTAAAATTCAGAGCATTTTCTGTCCTCTGGTTTTAGTTCTTCCCCTGGTCATGCGAGCCTTTACCTGAGCGGAAATCGGTTCATGTTTCCCTTCTGTGTGGGTCTAACAAGGGTGCACAGATTTATTTTGCTGAGTTTTTTTAAGCTAGTGTTAGAGTATTTTCATGGTCTTTGGTCTCTCTGTTCAGTTCAGCAAACACTCTGAGCTGAAGGGTGGAGGCGCTGAGGTCGGTTGTTGGGGTGCAGTGGTGAGGTGGGTGGGAGTACACCCTTTCTGTCAATGAGGAGTCAGGGTGCCCCCCCCCCCCGCCTTTTTTGTTGCAGTCCGAAGGGGGTCTGAGAAGGTGGGGAAATTGGTGCAGGTGTTGAAGGGCGAGCTCATGGGGAGCCTTCAGGCTGCCCGGCCGTTGCCCTGGGTGAAGGCTGTCGATGGTTCACTTCAGTTCCCCGGATACCTGCTGAGTCCCTCCTCGGCTCCAGGGGCTGGGGTCAGAGGGGAGCGTGAGAAACAGTTTCCAACCCCGAGTTCATGGCAGGCTTGAGAGATAGAAGACCTGATTTTAAAACTTGTCCTGCCTCTTAATAGCATGTGACTTTAGCCAAGGCCTCAGTTGTCTCATCTGTAAAAGGGACATACCGGCACCTCACTGACGGGAGGGGTTTCTGTGAAGGTTGAAGGAGATGATGCGTGTCGATGTGCCTGGGCTGCCAGACACGGAACCAATGTTACTCTCCTACGAGGCAGGCCGGTACCAGGCTGTAGGAGCAGTGGCAGGATAGGGCATGGCCAATCAGTCGTGGTACCCCTCCTCATCTTTGTAATGCATGGTTGTGACTTAGGATGGAACGAGAATGGGGACAACATCTTCCTAGGAGCTTTGATGTTTCTGCTGTACTCAGAGCAATTCTGGTAACACTGATCAGTTAGCACCTCAATTTATGGCTCCAAATGGGCCTTGTAGAAGAAAATGGGAAGTAGACCTCTGCTATTGGTAATTCTGAAATTGGTGGTGGGACTGGTTCTGTGATTATGTAGACAATAGATTATTTTATAAAGTATATGATGAAACCATCTTTGGAGCCATGAACCCTGTTGGATCACATTAAATATTTATGTCTGTCGTTTTCTGTTCTTTTAAGAAAGGGTATCATATTCTTGGTCGAGGTTAATGCTCATCTTTTCTACGAGAAATTTGAACACTGATGCAAGACTCTTATGGGCTTGATAGGAATGTTGTGAGGACAAGTGAATAGTATGGGAAAAACCACTAACTTGAAAAATAAAGTATTGATGAGTACGAGATGTATCCCCCAATCACATGGTGGACTATAAGCAGTGAATGACCGGCCCCTGCCAATAGTACCCAGTATATCGCGGGTGCCAAATGAAAGGCTGTTGACACACTTGGCACGTCTTTAACTCCTGCTAGTGGCCAGGGGTACAGAGGTGAGTGGGAACAGGTGTCTGGTGGAGAGTCAGCGGATCCTCACATGCACAGGTTTAAAGTTGCAGGTGACAAGCACAGAGAAGCAGAGTTCAAAGGAGTCCAGAGGAGCCCGTGGACTTGGGGATTTCGTGGGTCCAGGTGGTCAGGCATCTTGTCTGACAGTGCCACCTGGGCTGACATCTGAAGGAGGAGGCATCTCTGGGTGGAGGCAGGAAGGAAGAGCATCCCAGGGGAGAGCACACTGCACGGTTGGGGCCCGTAGGGGCAGCAGGGAACAGGATGGAGAAGAGCACAGTGAGGCTGCCAGGACGCACGATGCTGCTAGGTGCCAGGCCCTGGCTGGCCTTGCTGTGTTAGGGTATTTTGTCTGGAGCTAAATTCAGCAGGAAGCTACTCTTAGAAAACTAAGAGTTTTAAGCATGGGGACGATGAGATCATGTTTGTGTCATGAAAAGGCGTCTGGCCGACAGCATGCAGAATGCACTGGAGAAGGGCCAGGGTGATGCTGGCAGGCCAGTCAGGCTGGTGAACGGTGTGTGGCTGTTGACTCTTGTGGATCTGTAAGTGTGTGTTAGGGATGAATATTGCAGTATTTTCAGTTGGCTTCAAAATAATCTGTTGGGCATGGGGGTATAGATGAAACAAGTTTGCCCATGAGTTGAGAATTTTTGGTGCTGGCTAGTGGGTACCTGTGTGTTCATTGTATTATGCTTTTTGCTTTTGTGTATATTTGAAATTTCCACAGTGTTTTTTTTAAAGGCTCTTACCATAGCCCAGGTGATAGATGATGATGGTAGCAGTAGCAGTGGAGGGAAGTAGATAGATTTGAGAGAAAACTGGGAGGTAAAAAGTAACAAAACCTGAAGGAGGGGCCAGCCTGGTGGTGTAGTGGTTAAGTTCGTGCTCTCTGCTTCTGACGCCTGGGGTTCGCAGGTTTGGATCCCGAGTGTGGACCTAGCACTGCTCACCAAGCTATGCTGTGGTGGCATCTCACATAAAATAGAGGAAGATTGGCACAGATGTTAGTTCAGTGACAATCTTCCTCAAGCAAAAAAGAGGAAGATTGGCAACGGATGTTAGCTTAGGGCCAATCTTCTTCAGAAAACAAAAACAAAAACAAAAACAAAACCTGAAGGAACAAATGACCCAAACAGACCCAAGTTGCCTAGGTGTCATGCAGAATCACAGGTTGTTACATATGGGTCACCACCTCAAAATCGTGATTTGTTTATAAATTGTCAACTGTTTGTAATTTCTTACTGTTAACTAATTATTAATCTAATTCACTTGTGACTTCTTGGAAAAAATGTACAGTCACCATCCTGATGGCACAGAGTTATCTTACACTGAAGAAGTGCTGCTCCTCTCCCCAGGAAAGAGTCAGTTTAATCATATGGTGCTGTGTGTGGTCCATGAGATGAACCAAAATTAACAAAATGAAATGATGGCTCTAAGCTTTATTTCTTAAATCAGTGATGTGTGCAAATATTTATCCACAAACATGGGGGGATTATTCAGTTGTCATCCAGCCACTAATCCCAACTGCAAACATATGGAAGGATATAGAAATTTTATATATTGTTAGAAGAAAAATGTTTACAAAACAGTGTATATAGTACTATCTTCAAGTTTTAGTTTTCCTTGGGGGAGATGCTAACGAACAGTTCGTGCCAAGCCATGGGTAAGGATTAAGGAGCAACTGGGACATGACAATGGGTAGCAAGTGCCATCTTGAGAAAACTGTAGCATTTCCCTCAACTTCAGTGGTGTCTCCGATGATGTTCCACATGAGTGTTCCAGTGCTGCACTGAATGAGAGTGGGTTTTGCTGCTTCCTCTTGGTAAATACTGAGCTCCTATGTGCCAGGAAGTGTGCTGGGCCCTAAGTACATGCTTAGGAGTCAGATGTGATCCCTGCCCCAGAGCTTACAGCTGGGGCCAGGCAAATAGCAGATGAACCTGCCAGGAAATAATTCCAAAACCAGTGAAGGCAGCACCATGCTGTTGCACCTGATGGCTCACATTCAGGAATGTGTGCTCAAGAGGACCGGAAATCGGGATTTTTAAAAATATGTTAATCTTAAAAGAGAGCTCAGCCAGTGGGACACAACTTTGTCAGAGAAGGAAATGATGAAACAAATAAATGTGATAAAATAATAACACATTTCTTTTTAAAGGCATCAAAGTCTTGTAGCAGATACTTACTGAGATATGATTAAAAATATTGAAAAATTAGGAATGCTTAAAAGTCCAATAGTAAGTAAATTATGATACCTCTACCCAATGGACTTTTAAATCATGAAAACTACTTTCAAACATTTGTTTATAAAAGAGGAATAAATGTTCAAAACATAAAAGGAAGAATACATACTTGGACACATGCAGTATGATCTTAATTATGTTTTTTAAAAAAGTTTAGAAGTCTGAAAGGAAATACTAAAAATATGTGATGGTTATCACTAGGATGAGATTATTGGTGATATTTGATATTCATTCCTTTTTTGCATTTTCCTTAATAATTGAAGGTGAATTCTAGCTTGAGAAACAGAAAGATATTAAATGTATACAATAAGGATTTCCTAAGCTTATCTATTTTTGAAAATGAGGGAAACCTCAAAAATAGGGTTAAGGCTAAAGTTTTGGTTTGAGCAGCAGAGAAATCCGTCGTGTCTGGAAAGGCTGAACACTGACCTGAGGGGTTGTGTCTTACAGGTGCCATGGACATAGCGTTGGGGTCCGGGGCCGCTGGGGTCTTCACCAATTCATCCTGGCTATGGAACAAACTATTTGAGGTAGGAATAATATAGAGAGACCTAAATTATGGAGATGATGAAATTATTCTAGCCTTAGTATATTTCTTCAACTCCTGTGTTAAAGTGATTTTTATGTTGTAGTTTTGCCTTTGAATTGAAAATTCAATAAATTTGATTCAGTGTGCTTTGGGTTTTCTATAAATGTTCTAAAATTATGGGTATGATGCCACATTCCTCCTCTCCCCCAGTAGCTTCAGAGTGATGTGAAAATGACTTACAAATACCAGGGCCACCGGGTAGAATCCCTGAGGTGGAAAAGGTTATGAGGACAGCTTTGTGAAGGAAGGAGTGGCCCGTAATGAATGTGTGTCACGAGTGAACAGGGCTTGCCCTGGTCTGTTAACGGGTAGTGATAAGGACATCTTCCCACCACTGTGCTCTGTGCCTCCTCCGTGCCCTTTGCCAGCCAGCCAACCTCTTCCAAACAGCAGTCCCCCATCACCACCTGCCATGCTTTCACTCAGCCCCATAACCTGACTCCATTTGCCTCGCTTACCCTGTCTAGAGGCAGCATGTAACTGACCTCTTGGTGACACCCCACTCTTGGCTTCTGTGATAATCTCTTCTGGTTCCTGTCTTTTCTGACCTCTGTTTCAGCCTCCTTTGCTGGCTTTTTCCTTTGTCTCCACCTTGGGTTGGTGTACGGTCCTGGGCCACATGCTCTTCTTACCCTTCACATCCCTCACCAGGAAGCTCGTCTGTTCCCATGGCTTCAGCTAGGACTTCTCTGCTGATCACTCCCGTCTCTCTCCTGAGCTCAGACCCTGTGTACCCGCTTGGCTACCAGACACATCCGTCTGGCCCCTCACCCTTTAACAAGTAATTAATGGGAGCTTACTCTGCACCAGTGGGGAACAAACAAAATGTCCCTGAGAACATTCTTGCTGTTGGTTTAAGGTCCTAAACTTCCTTTTTAGCCTAAGCTGCTTCCCCTCATGTCTGTCATCTGGTCATTTGTGAGGCCCTACCCTCAACCTCTGTGCTACTCGGCTCAGCTGTCTCCTTCCAGGCTGGGTGAGGGACCCTTCCTCTGGTCTGTCATGTACCCAGTGTCCTTTCCATCATAGCACCTACAACGTTGTTTGTTTTGACTTTCTTAAATTTAAACTTCTTTAAAAACTCAAAGTTATATGTGCATAAACCTTGTTTAAATAACAGTCAGGAGTCTACAGTCTGCTTTCCTGGAGGCAGCCACCGTCAGCCCTTGGCTGAGTTATCTGACATCTACTCTTGTCTCAGAATAACAGCTTCTCTTGCTGCTTCCTGACTTTTCACTTTTGGCTCTTATCTTTGACCACAGTGTGTTACAATCTGTTTCTGTTTCTCCCACTCGCCTGTGGGCCCTTTGATGGCTCAAATACTAAATTTCTTTATATCCCCCACAGCTGATGGTGCTTCATACACATTCAGTAAAAGATGAATGAGTGAGTGTGTAAGTAATTGTATGAATGGATGAGGACAACTTGTCTTAGGAACTGGTCTTCCTAAGGTCAGCGGCACATTTTAGAGTAACAGGTCAGAACAGCTCTTTCCTCCCTGTATTAAACATGTCAGTGCTGTGAATTTACCCAGAACCTACTTCATCCAGTCTTCCAACTATCGTACCTATTTTGTCTTTAGGCCAGCATTGAAACAGGGGACCGCGTCTGGAGGATGCCTCTCTTTGACCATTATACTAGACAGGTTGTCGATTGCCAACTTGCTGATGTTAATAACATTGGAAAGTATAGGTATGTAAAATGAGCTGTAAAAATACATTTTTATAATCATCATTGGTTGCGAAAATGGCCATTTTCAATTTTATCCCCTTTCACAAAAGATTTAACTATCCAATTTCCTTTTGATGTAGTGCTCATAAGCACTAATATTTAATGTCTTTAGTTTTCAAGGTATTTCCCAACTGGTTCTCAAAATTTTGCATGTTTTCAAATCTAAAGGTCATTTTAAGCAAATGGTAAGAGAAAGAGATGGACAGCATGGGAATTCATTACCATGGGAAAAAGGAATCTAGAATTTATCCTTTACTGCTTAAAGCTGTGTTTCAAAATGAATATTCTGAGAGTGGTTTCTATGTTAACTTGATATAAGATCTCCTAAGCTTGGCTTTTGCTCTCTGGTCATAGAGCCTACTTAGCAAGAATGGGGGATCTTAGTGAAATGTTCAGTGCACATTTTCATGGGGCTAACTAATGATTTTTGTCTTTCTCTTCAGATCTGCAGGAGCATGTACAGCTGCAGCATTCCTGAAGGAATTTGTGACTCATCCTAAGTGGGCGCATTTAGACATAGCAGGAGTGATGACTAACAAAGATGAGATTCCGTATCTGCGTAAAGGCATGACCGGGAGGCCCACGAGGACCCTGATAGAGTTCTTGCTTCGGTTCAGTCAAGACAAAGCTTAGTTCAGATACTCTAAAATGCCTTCATTCTGTCTTAAGTGAGCTTTGGGGCTTCAAAATATTTTTGAATGAATGGATGAAAATCTTTTAAAGGAAACAAAGGATGAAATTTAAAAGTGAAATTTGTATGCTTTGTCTTTTCATTTTATGCAGAGACTTATTAAGATAAAACTAATGGCTTGCTTGGCAAAGATTTTAAAGGTATTCTAAAAATGATGATTAATTTTTTAAAAACTACCTAATCATTTTTCAGAGTGTATGTTTTTAATTGAGTGAAATTGTATTTCGGATTTGTGATGCTAGGAACAAACTAAAAGTTACTATGCTGTTGTCAGAAACAATAAATCCAGCTTTTTGTGCTCTCTGATGTGGCTCTGGTATTTACTTATGTTACTGTAAACCCAGTGACTACTATACCATAACTTGTCTCCTTTGGCTGTGTCATGTGAACTAAGTAATTAACTGGGGCACAGTGATATAGGTATTTTCCACTGTTAATCATCACTTTGGGGAAGTCAATGAGGAGCTTATCCATTTGTGAGATAGGAACTATTATCCTCATTTTACAGATGAGGAAAATGAGGCACAAGAGAGGGTCAGTGACATGCCAATGTATCACCAAGCTAGTAAGTAGGAGAGCAGAGGTTTAAACCCAGGTGGTCTTGATGAGGATTATTTTAGGCTGGTTACTTTTAAAAACTGCAGAGGAGAAGGAGGCTCTGAGGAGTGGAATTGGCTTGCCCTTTGATGAGAGACATTTGCATTTGTGAAGGAAGTCTCCATCTGTGGGGGGTGTCTCCCTCTTTGCACCAGGAGGAAGAGGGGATGCCCTTATCTCTAGAAACTCTTAATGGGGAAGGCAAGGACTTAAGTTGTTTCCTGTCTGGTAACCTCATGTAACTGACCCCCTCACCACCAACATCCTCCTTTGTTTTTAGCTGAAGATAATATTTAAGATGGTGGCTTCTGCCATTTACTTAATCTGGTCTGATGCTTATCTAAAGTTATAGGACCACCCAATAACCAGACCCCACCTGCCCTGATACCATTTTAACAACTTTTTTTACATATTCTTTCCTTGTCTTGTAAAGAGATAACTCACATACCTATGCCTTAAATTTAGCCCTACTCTCAACACACTGCTGTTTGCAGCAGCAGCTCCTCCTGCCTGTGGGTCCTTTCCCCTGCAGCAGCTCTGACTGCCCATGGGTCCTGTCCCCATGCTATTCCACACCATTCTCTAAGTAAAAGGGCACTACTGCCAGACCTTGAGAGTCCAAGAAATCTTTCTTTTGACTCTTCGGCTTGCTGACCCCGCATCAGTCTGACTCCAGAGCTGGTATTCTTCATTGTTACACTGTAATGCTTTCAGTTCTGTCACTTGAATGGATGCAGAGTTTATTTTGAAATACTGAAGAAACAAGACCATAAAAGGGACTGTCAGTGGGTAAACTATTTGCTTACCACCTGTGACTACAGCCAATCAACAAAATTCCATTTGGGCAGATTTTGAAGAAAGCTCTCCTCTTTTTCACTTTTGTATCAGGTGAATCAAACTACCTGTGAATAAGATCTATGCTTTTTTTTTTAAGACTTTGAAAATGTTTGACAGGAAAGCTCTTAATTGGAGTTATTTTTACTATTTTAAACACTTGACATGTAAGAGGATATTGTTATGTGTCTAACCTGGTTTATAGAGAGGAAATGGCAGTGGGCATGCATATTCATGTTATTAGAATTAAAATCAGACTGAAATAGTAAACACAGATTCCTCTGGGTATCCATGTCCAGAAACTACTTCTTCAGGAAAGATGGAATCAGAAGGTAGAAATACTGGCTTGTGAAGGGAAACTAAAAACATTTAGATTTCTTTGGGTGATTCAGAAAGCCAAGAAGGGATATTATAGAAGGCTTGTTATCTTTTATAGATAAAAGAACAATAGAACACCTGTGTTTACTAGAGTATGGGATACAAAAGACTTGACAGGGCCCTGGATTCATGTGCTTATCTAATCTGGTTGAGATGAAACTTAATAGTTGTCATTGCACATGCATCTGGCTGCCAGGTATTTCATAAACCCATGCTCAGAACCATGCTCTGAGGCAGATAGTATTATCCACCTATGTATCAGTGAGGAGTAGGCATGGCTGCAGAGCCCAGCAAATCCAAAACAGCAGTGGTTTAGAACACGATGGTGTTAGAAGGGTGGCTGAAGTAGGGAATCCAAAACTCAAGCAGCCCCATGGCCATCAGAAACCCAGGCTCAGAAATGTGCATCACTACCACAGCCTTAAGGTTCCCTCAGTCCCAGCTGGCTGTTGGGGTTGAAGGCTACACGAAAATGATAGAGATCAATCACAGTTAAATGAACACATTTTAAGGAGCCTTCATTGAAATCCCACATAACACTTGTGTTTATATCATCAACCAGAGTTAAGCTATTCTTATGTAAGGGATTTGGGGAGATGTAGATTAAGATCAGGAAGGTGTATTTGTCACCTTGATAGAAGAACGCGAGAGAGGACAGGAGATGGGCAACTAACAGTATCTGTGACACTGTTTTAGAGAAGAGGAACCTAGAGCTCAAAGAGGAGTAAATTGCTAATGTTTGCAAACTAGAAAGTAGAAAAAAGGTCAGAACCCAGATCAATGGATCTGCAAAGCCCAGCATCTGCAACCCAACACATGGCTCTGAGTGCGAGAAACCATTACTGAATATAGTGCAGTATATAAGCCCTAGTTATAAAAGCACAGTGCATGTTCTATGTGCAATGAGGGCAGGTACCATATCTCATTACTGTATCTCTACTCATAGCACAGGACCCAACCACTGTTGAGTGTCAATATTGGCTGAATGAATGGATGAGAAAGGAGACAATGGGATGGAAAATGAACTTGATGAAATCTTGGCAATTAAAAGGTTTTAAGGTTACAGCAGAGTAAATCCAAAAATGCCCTCATACCCTGCGTGACGTATGCAGGAAATAATAGGAAATGTTACTATTTTGGAGTGAAGGAGTCATCGATTCAGCAAACGTTTATTTTGTGCCCACCCTGTGCCAGGCATTGTAGAAGGTGCTTCAGATGGCAAAGTAGACAAGATGTAGTCCTTACCCTTAGAGGATTCACAGTCTAGGGTTGAAGGGAGAATTCTGAAGCCATGCTCTATCACTTGGTGACATCTATGTCAGTTAGACAGTATTGGCCTGACCAGTTCCTTGGGGCATTTTCTCTGTGGCCCGCCATATTTTATGGCTGCAGCTCTGCCACTCTTGAGCTTTCATCATGATCCTAGGGAAATGTTAGCCTAAACCCTGTCATCAGATAATCATAATCAACAAATTCCATTACATGTTCCATTCCCAAACAGTTGGCTTTTTTCCTGAGCAAATCACGGAGTTTATTTGACCATATCTCACCACTTCTGCCTTCTGCCTTGGCTGCACTAGTACAAATCACCACCCTCTCTCTCTGCACTCCTAGATTACTGCCTTACTGGTCCTGCTTCCACGTGCTTGGCTTATGTTTCTGTGCCAGTGGAGAGATTATTCTTAAATTACATCATGTCACTTGTCTTTTCTCAGTCTATGGCAAGCACTGTATTCAACACCCTACATACATTCTCTCTTTCTCAGTGCTCTTTCCCAGGCAGTGTTTTCCTAATTTATAAAGGAGGAAACATGTTTCAGCAAAATCCCCAAACTTCATCTGTACTCTATTCTGGTGTGAATCCAGGAGACCACACTGTCAGGCAACTCACTCATGGTTAGGTAAGCATGAGATACAGTCCTTTAATGAGCCAGACATTAAAGGGATTTGCAAAAATGTGAAATGATACTGCTCTTCTCACTAATTAATTTTGGTTCTGGAAAATAGTTATTTTTTTACATTAAAATTTATGTTAACATGTTTATTATTTTAAATGAATTAATATTTTTCTCAGTTTTAATTAATAGGTAAATATTTTACCTATTCTCAGCTTTAATAGGTAAATAGTGGCTGACATAATTTACATAAACAAAAACGTTTGGGGTCCCCAATAAGTTTTAGGAATGTAAAGTAAAGGGGTCCTGGAATCCAAAAACGTTTGAGAACTGCCAGAGTAGACTAGTTTCCTCCTGGCATTCTATTTGTGTTCATCCAATCAACAAATATTTATTATGTCTATTTCAAGCCAGGCTGTTAGGAAAACAGGTGAAGAAGACAGGCAGGCCCTGATCTCATGGAGCTTGTACTCCAATTGGGGGTGTGCGTAAGGCAACTAAGTCAATGAAGAAGAAGAAAAACGAACAAGATAATTGCAGGTAATGTTTAAGTGTTGTGAGGAAAATTAGGGTGAAACGGCTGAGTGTGGGTCTAATTTAGAATTGCAGCCAGGGAGATGACCTTTGATCTGAGACTGATTGGCAAAGGGAAGCCCCTGCTTTTTCTCTGACCACTTCTGTCCTGCGTCACTTGCTCTTGCCCTGCTGGCTTTTCTGTAGTTCCTTAAATATGCCAGGCAGGTTCCTTCTTCAGGGGCCCTTCTGTCAAGAAAGTTTCCCTAGTTAAATGTTCATTCCAGTCACTCCAGGCAGATCTCCTGGGAGAGGCCTTCTCCTACCACCCATCTCAAATCCAACACTAAACACCCCCTTCCTGGGCTTCATTTTTCTTCTTAACACTTATCTTCAGATAATATTGCTTTATATATTTATGTGCTTATCCTCTCTTCGCCCCTCCCCCCCAAATAGTAAACTCCATGAGGGCAGAGACTTGGGATGGCTGCTATAACCCCAAATAATTAAGTAGTGCCTGGAACACGGGGGGTTCAATAAACATTCCTGATAACTGTAAAACTAAATATAATGAAAAAATACTCAGCTTCTGAAAAGATAAATAAGCAAGTTATGAAAAGATTAGCATAGTGATTTTCTCTTTTTTGTAACACAAATATCTAACGGGAACAGTGCCAGGCACATAGATAAGGAGCGTCAACAATGTTAGTCGTTTTTGTTTCGTTTTTTTCTTTTTTAAAAAACATTGGCAACTGAGCTAACAACTGTTGCCAATCTTCTCTTTTTTTTTCTTCTGCTTTTTCTCCCCAAGTCCCCCCAGTACATAGTTGTGTATTTTAGTTGTGGATCCTTCTAGTTGTGGCATGTGGGGCGCAGCCTCAGCATGGCCTGACAAGCGGTGCCACGTCTGAGCCCAGGATCTGAACCTCCGAAACTCTGAGGCGCAGAAGCAGAGCGCGCAAACTTAACCACTCGGCCAGGGGCCAGCCCCGTCACTCATTTTTGTTACCTGTCTCTCCCCAGAGAGAATTTAAGGGGAACTTCGCCTGTCCTCCCGCTGTGCCGACAGCGACTGGATTAGTAATCGGAATGCAGTAAGCTCTCAATAAATGTGGAATGAATGGGTGCCTCCCTCCTTTTATCAGTGGGTAAACTGAGCCCGGAGAGAATAAGACTCTTGGCCAAAAATCCCTCGAAGCGTAAAGGGAAAAGTCGGGACCAGCGTAAGAATATCCTGACTCCAACGGGAGGGCTCGCCCCACCACAGACGATTCTCCTCTCCACACCACTGTCATATCCGGTCAAACCCTTCAGTTCTCAAGAAAAACAAACGGAAAAGCCAGGAGACCTGCACACGGGCAAATAGAAGGGAATAGACGTGCCTAACAACCGGTTTCCCCGGACCCGAGACCCGAGACGCCTCGGGCGCCCCCGCACCGTCAAGTGGCCAGGTTTGTCACGTGACCCGCGGGCGCAGCTTCCGCGCAGGCGCAGTGGGCCTCTTTCCCCGCCTCTTCAGAAATGGCGGCTCCGCTGGGCGGTATGTTCTCTGGGCAGGCGGCGGGGCCCCCGCCCCCCCCGCCGGGGCTCCCGGGTCAGGCTTCTCTTCTTCAGGCCGCGCCGGGCGCTCCGAGGATTTCTAACAGCACCTTGGTGGACGAATTGGAGTCATCTTTCGAAGTAAGACGAGACGGGGGCGTGGGGTCTGTGCTCCCAGCCTTCCTTCTTTCCTGAAACGTAAGCTGCGCACGCGCAGGTTGTCTCCCCCAGCGGTCCCCGCACCCTGCTGACAAATGGGGAAACAGGTTCAGAGAACGTCAGTTAGTTGCTTTAGTCTCCGCATTGAGTTGTGGCCGGTATGCTGCTCAGGTCGGCTGGCAGAGACACGTAAACTTGACGTTTCTTGAGGACTGGGACTTGGTGAACGTTGGGACTTTTCCACGTTCCCAGCCGTCTGTTCCCGTCCCATCCGGTTCTTGGTCCCATCCGTGAGCACCGTTTCCCTCACGCCATGTGTTTAGTACGGGTTCATCCTCCCCGGAGCGCAGCGTCGCACCATTGAGTCTTGTTTCCTTTCCGCTGGGCTCCACCCCTAAACGGTCCAAAAGTAATGGGCTTCTTGGAGCTGAAATGGACTTATTTAACAGTTGCCGTGCGGAAGAAGTTGGTACTGGGGGCCAAGAAAGAAGGAACGCTGGAGGTTAGGGGGAGAGGGAGGGAGGCGGAGATGACCCAGACTCCGAGTTCTGCCCAAGGAGTTTACCCTCCAGCAAGGAAGGTGCGGAGTGGAAGTAGACAAAGGAGAGGTAAAAGTGCGTGCTTTGGCAGCTTCCAGTGGTCTCGAACGTGGAAGATGATCTCTTAGTGTGTGGAAATAAAATAGGATAACTTCTCATTGGAGTTACCTTTTCCACATTTGAAATCTCAGTCACGGGAATTTTAGATTGTATATAATAGCACAGAAGTACATGAATATAGCTTTTAAATGAATGCATTATTGGGGCCGCATCGGCAAAATGCTTTTACTGATAGAATAAGCATTCAAAAGTTTGGAGATATTGGTTTAAAGGACAGAGATCTCTTCTGTCTGGGAGGAGGGTGAGAGCCTTTGGGGTGGTGCTAAGCAGTAAGGGAAAGGGATGGGTAAGCCTTGGAGCAGCACCTACCATTGTTCCTGAGGTGAGGTGGCTCTCGGTCATGACTGGCCCGGTAGAAGTCTTGGCGAGAGCTGACCACCAGCACCCTGATGCTTAAAACCCTTTAGTGGTGGAACCGGCCCGGTGGCCGGGTGGTTCAGTTGGCGCGGTTCAGGATTTTGCTGATTGGGATCCTGGGGGCGGACATGGCACTGCTCGTCAGGCCAGTTGAGGCGGCGTCCCACCTATACAACTATGTACTGGGGGGATTGGGGAGAAAAAGCAGGAAAAAAAAGAAGACTGACAACACTTGTTAGCTCAGGTGCCAATCTTAAAAAAAAAAAAATTAAAAATAAATAAATAAAACCCTTTAGTGGCTACCTGTGGCTCTTGGGATAAGACCAGAGGTTTGGTGTGGTCACCTTTGGCTTGCGTGACCAAGTCTCCACTCCAGACCCATCTCTTCTTACTCTGTCCACAGGAGCCTTTTTCTGCATATGCCATTTGTTTTCTCTTTGGGCTTCCAGGTGTCCTTCCCCAGCTCACACATCACTTCCTCAGTGCACCCTGCACCCCTTTGTAGCACTTACCACTAAACCAGGCTCCATGAAATCTGAGACCCTCTTTTGCCCTCCTTCCTCTCATTGTATCTGTGGCGCTAATACGGGGGTAGCAGGTAGCAAGTGCTTGATGAATAGTTGTCAAATGGTGAAGAAGCCTATTGTGTGTCAGTCACTGTCCAGGGTGCTAAGAATACAGAGAAAATAGCCTCTGCCTTCAGGGAGCTCATGACTGGAAGAGACAGATACATGATGGGCAGTTGCCCATGCTGTGGGATCAGTACTCTGATAGAAGAAACCCCGTGGTACTATGAGAGGGCACATGGGCGTGGCTGTCGAAGAAGGCTTCCCAGAGAATGTGAAACCCAAAACAGCATTTGGACTTAGGTGAGAGTGAGAGGGAGAGGTGCTACCAGGACCCTCCTTTGCTGGTGGGTGATCACCCATCTACTCTTCTGTCAAGACTCAGCGCATTTGCTGTTTCCTCCCTTGTGGTCTGTGTGGACCTCTGTTCCACATCCTCCAGTGGCTCATGGCACTGCTTGCCTGCTTGTCCTTTCTGCTTGGGTGCCACCCCCAAGGTCTCTGGCTTTCTTGTTCTAGTTGCTCAGTAAATGTTCTTCGTTGGAATGAGTTTATTGAGGTCAGGCGCTCTTGTTATGGGAGGGAACCTTGGAGACCATCTCCTCCTTTTACAGATGGAGAAACTGAGGCTCAGAGAGGGAAATAACTTGCCCAAAGACAAACCCTCAGTTTTTGGAAATGGGGACTAGCCCGTGGACCTCCTGACTGTCCAGGTAAAGGCTCTATCGTATGCATACTTCTAAAAAGCATATTCTTTTTATAGACCACCATGCATTTTCTTCTCCATACAACTGTCCATCTGTCTATAAAGGCTGGTCTGTTTAATTTTCTTTTTTTAAAAGGGAAAAGAGGGAACTAAAATTCCTGAGATCAGGTTTCCTCCCACCCTGTCTGGTGGCCCTGCTGGCTCTGGAGGAGCAGCCCCTCTTTATTGACCAGTTTGTGACTAGTTGGCCCCGTGGATGGAGTGTTTTCTAGTAGTCACAGGTTTCACAAAGCGGATACACCCTACCTGTAACCCAAATCCAACAGGAGTCACCTTTCAGACTTATACGCAGAATGGGCAGTCTGTGTTTTTCTAATTTGTTGAGCTGTTGTGGGGATTCCCCACGGGGAATCCTGTGATTTTCTCTGTAAACCAAATGGGGCAACCGCAGGTGGGAGAAGGGCCCTGCATCTAGTTGATGGCCTCCATTTGGACCCAGGTCTGCCTGCCTCACACCAAGTGTAGTTGGCTTCCTGCTGGCAGGGATCTGCTTTCTGGAGGTTTGAGGCTTTCTTTTTGACCCCTGCGCATGCTCCCCTCTCCCCCGGCCCCTTCTCTTTCTGGCCCCACTGCTCTGCAGTAGGCCTTCTTTGTGCATTTCCTGTGAGTTGCCAGTGCACAGAACTCCTTGGCTAATTAACGTGTGTGTCTGGATTGGTGCCCCTTTAGAGAGCACTCCCACTTTAGGATTAGTTTGTCCATGTGACACCAGCCATGTCCTTCACTTAGGCCATCCAGTCCATGATTTATTTATTGTATTTATTGAACACCCACTTTGTGCCTAGCAGCATTCTCACCCTAGGAGTCTAGTGAACAAGACAGACAAAATGCCCACCTGCTAGTAGGGACAGCTAATAATGGTCTAAAAGAATGGAATGATGGCAGTTAACCATGTGAAAAACAATAAAGCTGGGCTTGGGGATAGAGTGTGAGCAGGAGGGGCGTCATTTCAAAAGGGTAGTTGGGTGGCCTCTCCAAGAAGGTGACGAGTGACCTGAGTCCTGAATGGGTGATGGTACAAGTCTTGTAAGCTTCAGAGGGAGGGGCTGTGGCTGGGGCTAGATTAGGGATCCAGGTCCTGGTGTGGAATGAATAGTGGGGAAAAGAGTGACAGACCAGATAGGGGTGCTGGCAAGTCCCAGCTGCCTCATTTGCCTGCCTTCCCTCTGTGTGCCTGATGGCCTCAGGGTGCGAAGTTTCTTCATTGGCATGATGTCATCTTGTGGGCAAACCTACATGCTATCAACTCATTGAATGACTTCAAGAGAACTTACTTCTTACTCTGAAGTAAGATTTTCGATGCATGACTGACTTTTTTCCTTTTGTGACATGTTTTCATGACACAGGCTTGCTTTGCTTCGCTCGTGAGTCAGGATTATGTCAATGGCACGGATCAGGAAGAAATTCGAACTGGTAAGAAGTCCCTCTTTGTGGACAGTGTTCTTGCCTTCAGCAAGATTCCTGATTGCTAATTTTACACTCGATGTGTTTCACTCCTGCTTGTATCCTAAGAGAGCTTTTTTGACGAATAAGATTTATGTAAATAATCTCGATGTACTGCTGGTTCTTTGTTCAGTTTAGTAATTGACATTTATGTCACTCATAATGAACCACTTGTAATGAGCTTTTCATATTGATACTAGGGCAAAGGAGACCAGTATGTGTACTGCTTTTTTAAAAAAGTAAGTTTTTATTATTTTTTAAATAGATGTTACAAAGAAAGTCCCTGTGCTTCCCCATCGTCACCCAGGTTCTGTCTCCGAGGTGACCAGTACCTCTCCTTCTTTCTACCATATTTTAAATGTCTCGTTTTAACTGGAAATCATGATACTGATTGCTAGATCTCTGGATTGTCTTTCTTCAGAAGAAGTCATGGCTTTGTATTAAGATGTCTTATTCACCTGACAAAAACACGAATTATCTACTATTTAATATTGGCTAACATCTGGGGATTTGGGGGTCATAATTGCTGTGGCCAGGATTAAAATCCCAGATTACATCTTTGAGAAGGTTCTGGTTTGATATTCTGACTCTTCATTTATTATGGAGATAAATGTGTCTAGTGTTCTTCTTAATTTAATATTTTGATTTTTTAAGGTGTTGATCAGTGTATTCAGAAATTTCTGGATATTGCGAGACAGACAGAATGTTTTTTCCTACAAAAAAGATTGCAGTTATCTGTCCAGAAACCAGAGCAAGTTATCAAAGAGGTACGAACTCACTTTTCTGCTAACTTTTAGGAAGAGCACACGTTGTCAGGATTCCATTTGTACTTTAAATAAGACACCCCCTTTGCCCATGAATTACAGTGGGGCTTTATAGCTTGAATGAAAAATGTTGCTCACTGTCAGTGTTCATGACAACCTGGACAGGTAGTGGAGCCAGGGATGGAGGTGGAAAGCAGGCTCTCAAATAGCAGTTTCTTACACTGCCTTCCATGGAATATTTTTCTGAAAGAAAAGGTTCTGCTGCTTGAAAAAGGTTGAAAAGCCACTAATGTAGATGACAAGCTCATTTTGGACAGGAACTGTGACCTGTGTGTCCCTGGTTGCCATAGCCAGTGCCTTTTGCACAGGAAGGGCTCTGTCAGATTTTATTCATGGAATTAAAAGTACAGGCATACCTCGTTTTATTGCACCCCACTTTATTGCACTTTGCAGATAACTGCGTTTTTTACAAGACCCTCCACCAGCAAAACGATTATGACTTGCTGAAGGCTCAGATGATGGTTAGTATTTTTCAGCAATAAAGTATTTTTTAATTAAGGTATGTACCTTGTTTTTTTAGACATAATGCTTTGTACTCTTAATAGACTACAGTATAGTGTAAACGTAACTTTCATATACACTGGGAAACCAAAAAATTCTTGTGACTTGCTTTATTGCAGTGGTCTGGAACTGAACCCACATATCTCTGAGGTGTGCCTGTAAATGTCCTGTCCCAGGCTCCTTGAGACTCAGGATTTCGTTTATCTCAGTTGTTTGAAGCCGGGCATTTGGAAGTGTGTTAGGCTGCCATGGTGACTGGGAAGACTGAATGGCATTTAGTGTGTGGGCCTGTGCTGTCCCCTGCAGTGTGGAAGAGGGAATCATCATTCTGCCCCGAAGGCCAGGGTGCCCCCACTGAGAAACACAACATTGAAATGATCAAGCTTTGGCAGTTTTTGAAGTAACTACTCTCATAAGGTGACCAATTAATCAGAAACATTCTTTTTATTCATTGGTACCAACTGTTGAGAAGGTGAATGGTAAGAAGATGATTTTACAATTCATGGTGTCAGATCATTTCTTAATTTGAATACTTGAGTAGTGATACAGTCATGCACTGCATAGTGACGTTTTGGTCAACAATGGACTGCATATACGATGGTGGTTCCATAACGTTAGTACCATATAGCTTAGGTGTGTGGTAGGCTGTACCATTTGGTTTGCGTAAGTGCACTCGGGTGTTAACAAAATGACAAAGTCGTCTAATGACTCATTTCTTAGAACGTATCTCCATTGTTAAGTGACGCATGACTGCATAGGTGTGTTCAAGGCCAGGTCTTAATAAAGAATTAAAATGCTGGTATTCATTGAAAAAAGCTCTTGAAAATGAAAATTTAACACTTGATAATCTGAAATGATAGAACAGTGGTTTGGATTCTTTTGAACAGTTATTAACGTGTATGTCAGATTCTCAGTGTTTTACTCTCACCAGTAGCCTTTGAACAGCGATACTTGGTACCTGGGGACCAGAATGGGAAAGAGACGGATTTCTTTTTGACTGCCCTTTGGTACTTTGGAATATTGTAACTTAGGTGTTAATTATTAAGTGAAAATGTATTAAAAATAAAACTCAGTGTTAGGCAGGCATCTTCCATCGGAAGAGTTGTTTTAGGTTATTCAAATAGTGGAGCCAAGCAGAGTAATGCACTTACTATGGTTTAATTGATTCTCTTTGTTTTGAATTTACTTCTTAGTGCTCTTAACTAATCAGGGACTGTATTCATTTCTCATGAGTTTGCCCTGACATCATCACTTTCGTCTGTAGGATGTCTCGGAACTAAGGAATGAACTACAGCGGAAAGATACTTTGGTCCAGAAGCACTTGACAAAATTGAGGCATTGGCAGCAGGTGCTGGAGGACATCAACGTGCAGCACAAAAAGCCAGCCGACATCCCTCAGGGCTCCTTGGCCTACCTCGAGCAGGCGTCTGCTAATATCCCAGCGCCGATGAAGCAAACCTGAGGCAGAGCCGGCCTGAAAGCGAGCTGGTGGATGAGTCAGCCTCAACAGTCTTGCCAGACATCACTTTTCTTGTGGACGTGACATTTTGGAAACTTCCTTTGCTGGAGAATGAAATGATTTTAGTTTTATGTTCCCACCTAAAATTTTTCCCCTATTTTTATGGGTTATAGCTTGAATACTTTATAAAATGTCTATGGCTTTGGTAAACCAAGCAAAATTTTTTGTGTTTAGTAGAGTTTAGACTGCTAGTGTGATGCCACTTAAGATTCTTTTTTGTTTCTTTTCTTTGCTTGTTTTTATTTTTGTATGACTTTTAATCTCTGTGTTTGCAGTATTAGATTAGTTTGTATGGTTTGAGGGAAAAACAGTTTGTATGATCTGTTCTGAGGATCAGAGGATGAGGATTTTGGTTGTAGGCCTTTTAGGATAGTTACCCCTCAGTGGTAGTGTAGGGAAATCCATAAATTTGCAGTTTCAATCTTTAACCTACCTCAAGAAGAGGAGTCTAATGCAACGTGTGTGAAATGCTTCCAGGGCTCTCAGAAGGAGATTTTGTGAGTAGGCCGGAGAGGATTGTAATACCCTGGGTTAGTGTAGCCATATTACAGTAGGGTCCTTTAGTTGCTGCTTTCTTTGGAGTCAGTTTATATTTTGTGTGGTGTTTGTTTCCTTTTGGGGTGGGGCATGTGGTGGGAGCCGTGAGGTGCTGAATTCTGTGAGGTTCTGCAGTGGTGCATCAGCGTAGGTCACCGGGCACACCCTGTTCTCAGTCGCATGGCTTGGGGCAGAGGTGAAGGGTGAGGGTTAAAGCTAGCTGTGGTTGTGTCTTTGTTTTGAGTGTTGTTTGCTTGTGTCGTTTTTGTTTTGCTTTTTTGGAGCGGAACTTTCCAGGTTCTTGCTAGTGGATGGTATTGATTCCAGGGGGCTGGGTTCTCGAGGTGCAGGGTGTGCCACAGGATGGCCCTCGGCAACCACTCTTCACAAAGAGCACGTGGAGCCTCCGTGTCTGGGAAGACATTTTACCCGCTTGTTGGTCATGCAGCCCCTCAGATTCTCTGTTCACTGGCTGTGGAGAAATACAGATGGGTATTGTGTCTGGCTCTCCTTGGATGAGGTTTTCCTTTCTCTGCTGTTTACAGGCTCTTAATAGATTACATCTCTTCACCCAAAACAAGTGCTCCACTGTCTTCTGAACACGCAGTGCTTCTGTGACTCAGTGACCTGAGTCATTTTGTTTTCTCCGGCCTTGAAAGCCCCTTCCCACATGCAGTGGCATCCGCTCACGGTCCTGTCTGGCCTGGATGCCACCTGGTCCCTGAAGCCTCCGAGTGCCCTCCCTGTCACACCCCCAGGACACAGGACTTCCTGTCTCCTCTACCAAGCTTGCGTTGTTTCCCTCGGGGGTTGGTGGTCTGAATCTGTCTCTGTGCCCTTCATGAGAAGAGGCATCATTCCCCTCTGATTACACAGGGACCATGTATTATTTCTCTTTTATACATAATACTTACTACTCATTTTTCTTTGTGTGTGGAGGGGTACACAGCCTGAGGCCAACAAATCCCCTCACTCAGGATGTATACTCTTAAAAGTTGTTTTTACTCACATTATATGAATTCAAGGCTGTTAACCTGGTCATCTCATGCTAATTAGAAGCTGTGATTGGCAGCTTTAGATTTCTTGACTACAAGCCGAAATAAACTGATAAAGTTTTAGGCACTCTTTCAATAATAGAGAGGTTCTTGGTAAAAAGATTGGGAAGTATTCTATTTGGTGCTTAGTGAAAATATTTTGAATTAATGTATATACCACTTCTTGCCATTTACTTATTAAATTCAAAAGTTTTCTGTCTCTAAATAAATAATTTTCAATCTTGTCTGTTTGTAGACATCGTTTTCCTGTAGTGACATCTTGCTGGTTGATGATCATGGAACACCCTCTTAGCTGCTGTCTCCCTCAATGAGAAAATAACAGGCTATCAGCTGGGAATTCCCTTACCTTCCCACCCAGAAATGATAAACCCACCCACATCTCCAGGGCATCTTTTTTCCTTCCTATCCATCTGCTGAAGTGCCTGCCCTGTGTAAGACCACCTTTCCACAGTTGTTCTGGGTCCCTAGGTCTCTAGGACTTAACCCTTAGGGTGGTTTCTGCCCTGTGCATCGCTCACCTACTGACTGATTCCCTACAGCTCACAGGAGTTCTTGATCTCCCATCTTCAGCATTCCCCTCCCTGCTTGAGCTGCGGTCCCATTTCCCTGCCCCTCGTTCGCAGTCTCCAGGTCCTCCTCTCCTCTCCCCTCCTTTTCCTACTCTAGGCTGTCCCTCCCACATGACCACGACTGTGCTTGTGATGGTTAGCAGCCAGCCACTTCACCGTGGCCACATCGAATGGACACTTCTCCATCTTTCTTTACTTGAACTCACTCTCTTTAATACATCTTCCCTTCTTTTCTACCGAACCTCTAAGTGTTGACATTCCTGAGGGTTTGGTTCTGGGCCTCTGAGGCCATGGTGGAGTGCTACTCACTTCTCCCTTCAAGAGAGCCATCTCCAGGCTGCAGTTGCCAAAGCTTTAGCCCTTGGGGATCTGCAACGGTGTTCCCACAAAGAACCAAGCACAGTGGGGGTACTGGAGCCAGATCATTTCTGCCCGGCTCTAGTGGGCAGTCTTTGCTCTGGGGCTCCCATGGGCCTGGCTGGGACTTTCTTGAGCTGCTCTTGGCTTTCTCAGCTCTTGCCTGAGCTGTCTTGCTATCTGAGCCTCTGTTGCCCAGGTCGTCCATGGCCCTCCTTTCACAGGTATCAGCCCTGCATCACAGTCTCAAGGCTCTTCCTCTCTCTGCTTCCTCTCCCCTTGATCTTACACAAGTGTTTCCCTGGAGAAGAGGGAAAACCCTGGCCCTGACATCGGATGCTGACCTGGCACTGCTAGCCACATTATTCTTCTGTTGCATATAAACAGTCTCAGAATCCCAACCTCAGGCAAAGTTACTCTGAGACCATGGCAGTAAGAAGAATCACTTCATAATTTTGTCTAAGCACAGAAAAAAAAGTCACTGTGCCACCCACAAAATACTAAAAATCCTTCTGGCTAAAATGAGTGACCGCTACTTTTTTTTTTTTTTTTTTTTACCATTTATAGCTTTATCCTCACTCTAGTCTGCCCCTGCTATAGGTAAGATTTATTGAGACTCCCTCCAGGCTTAGAATTGCCCCCACTTTTTGACAGCATCCAATCTAGAGTGAATCTCTGCTTCTTTAGACAATCCTAGAAATCACCAAACCAACACCCAAATACCCTAAAATAAGTTCTAACACCATGTTTCTGAGAAGCCCCCCCATTCTCCATGTGGAGCATTCTCGCTCACTGCAGCAAGTGGTAAGCCCACCTTGTTCAACTACAGGTCAGTCTGTTTCTGGTGATCTTTGGCTGAAGGGCATTGACATTCTCAATAAATTTCTTGCACCTCTATTTGTGTCTTGGGGTGTACCTCCTGGGGGACCCGCCTGGCTCAGCTGTTACACAGTCTGAGAGAGAAGGCAGGATGGGGTTTGGGGACTGGGTGGGCTCACCATCCAGTTGGCAAGGAGGACCCATCCTGGGTGGGATGTGAGGTACAGACAGTCAGCAGCACAAGCAAGTGGCCAGTTCCTGAGGATTCCACCAGTGGTGCCCCGGGAAAGTGTGCTAGTGGAAGGGAACGTTGTCGGTGCAAGGATTCAAACATTTGGAAGGGAAGGGGAATATTTTTACAAGAACAGTAGAGTTGGCTGGTTATCACTACACTGTTTTGACTCCCCATGGAGGGATAATGACAAACTATCAGTGCTGAAAAAGTCGAAGGCTGCTGGGAGTGCCTGGGGCGTCTTTGGTTGTCTCCTGCACAGGGAGAGCAGACCCTGAGGAGCTAGTAGGAGGTAGCAGATCAAAGATAATACTGCATCCTGGGGGTGATAGTGGAGATTAGTGCTACCCTTAGAAATCCAAAGGATGCAGGGAAGTTGGTCCCTCTCATAGCCCATTTAAATTGCCAGCCTTGCCCTTGCAGAACCCAGATGGAGCCTGGAGAATGAGTATAGAGCAATCACAGTTGCTGTGTTGGAGGTTGCATCAACGCTAGAGCAGTTAATAAGGGCTCAGGTACACGGTATAGAGCCATCGGTTTGGTGAATGCGTTCTTTTCTACCCCAGCTATGAAACAATTTGCAGCAATATTCCTTTCCAGTTTTGCTCCAGGGATGTGTTAACTCTTCCTTCCTCTGTCGTAATATAGCCTAAAGAGATTTATCGTCAGGTCCTGTTATTTCTCTCTCCTAACTCAATCCTGAATCAGTTCATCTCTCTTCATCTCTATTGTTTTCTCCAAGCCACTACCATCATCTCTAGACCACTCTGCTTTTGAGAGATTGATGGAATAGATTATGCAAATGAGAACAAGAAGAATGTTTTACTATCAAATTGAGTTTCTTTGTCAATATTATCTAGGGTACAAAGAGAATTTCACTCACTGCTGGTAAAGGTGTAATTTGTAAAGGTGTAAATTGCTGGACACTTTCTGGATGGTAAATTGGTAATATCAAAGGAAAAGCTTAAGCGTGGATCATTTGATGCTTGGCTTCAATACTCAAGGAACAGGTCCTAAAGAAAAATGATAGAAGCATGCAAAGATTTAGTCCACAAAGATAGAATTATTTGGGGAGAATCCAGAAATTTAAAAAGATCTTTCACTTAGCTGCAACAAGAAAGGAGTCAAAGCACATACAGGGTCTCAACTGATAAAAGTCTGTCCCCACAGCAGGGGGAAGGTTGAGTTGCACAGTGGTGGGAAAACATTTCAACAAACAGAGGTAGAACTACCTGTATGTAGTCTTCAAAACAAAATACAAACATAATCCTACAGTGCTCACCCTAGGCAGGAAGCAAAAGATAACTAAAAAATATTTGACACTGAAAACCAATATGGCCTGTAACGAGTATTTGCATTTTAAAAATTATCCTAGTGGGGACATGTGTTTTGATTAGATAGTAAATTTACCTTTAAATTGTAAGTTTGAGTTGTAATTGCATTTCTCTCAAAATGACATAAGTATGTAAGTAGCTACTTTTTATCTGAAGATGATCTGATTGAGGTTAATGCGAACTTCCTATTTCCAAGCTCTGTCTTCATCTAATTTCACCTTTCTTTGCAAAAACAATACAAGTCACAAACATGTTTATTGCTCAGTTGTTTAAAGTTTTATTCAAAGAGCAAAGATTTGACAGTGCATAGAATAAACAACTGTTTACGGGCCACCTGCTGGGCCAGCACCAAAGGATTGAGAACATAGTTTGCCCACTAAAAGTTGTATTGAGTCTTGTCAAATCGCACTGCTCCATCTGAGGGTCAGACAATTCCGTGTGGACCGACAGTGAGGTCAGCACTGTGAATGGCCATTCCCAGTTCTGTTGAATCTACTGAGCATCCATGCAATGGGGAAGCAACACATCACTTGGCAAAGGGCTCAAACCCAAAGACTATGGGTTCCATAGATCTTTGACTTCAAGGACTAGATACTCTGGAAGCCTTCACAAATGACCACGTTGACACTATAGTCATTGAAACTGAGATGTATGATGGGGCGAGGCTCGGTTCCTCACAGGAAAATCCTGGCAGTGCTTAATTCCAATTCATGCCTGATAGCCTTACCCGTAATATTTTGCTTAATCCTTGCAAAGCCCCTTTTGAGGTAGGTGTTATCCCCTCTGTAGTCTACTTCATGTCCTGGACCTAGGAAGTCAAAGTATTCTATCTGAGTATGCCAAGGTCTGCCACAGGCCATTGCTAGTTTTGTTTTTTCACTTGGCTTTCCTGGTTACTTTGAACTTTGTTTTATTCCTCTTCATATTGAGGTTAGATGTGCATTTTGGAATTACATCATTTACACAGAAACACTTTTCAAGTGGAAATGACTAGCATCCTAAGGAAAAATGAAACCACTTTTCAAGTAGACCATGGAAATCACAAAGTCTGATACTCCACAAAGTGGAGTGCAATCTCATGGACACTGGAAATACAATGTGGAGGGCATCGGTAACATTAATTACATTTTCCTATGGGGGCTTTTTGATAACACTGGTTGGTTTTATCTTAATGTCAATAATTTTTTTTAATGAACTGGTGTCACAATGAAACTATGAAATGTTAATGCCAAAATTCGTTTTGGCTGTCATATATAAATCATAGTATAAGCAAGTTATTTGCTTGGCTGGTTTTTTAGTTCATTCCCTCAAATGTTCTAAAAGCAACATTTTTCAAATGTCCTCTTTGTGATGGATCCCAAGGCTCAGGTTAGAAGGAAAAATACTTGGTGAACCATTCCTGGTGGGCAGAGCCCTGTTTCTGCTGGACTTCTTTGGGCTGGGCTGTTTCACCATCTTGTGTCCTAGAAACAAACAAAGAGGTTTCTTAGATGGTTTTGAAAATTATTCAGTAAACAACTTAATACCCCACCACTTTTCAGGGAAAGATAACTGCTTCTTAACTCTTCAAAAGATACTAGAACCAGCTAACATGAGCAGCTGGAAACACGTTGTGAAGGATGGAGGTGTGGATGGAGTGTCTCATTCCTGTTTTGAAAACAGAAGGTTCTCTATTGTCTCATTTAAGAATTATGAGGCATACCAAGAGGTGGAAGCAACCCAAGTGCCCATTGACTGATGATTGGATAAAGAAGATGTGGTATATATATATATATATATATATATACACAATGGAATACTACTCAGCCAAAAAAAAGATAAATTCATCCCATTTGCGATAACATGGAAGGACCTAGAGGAATTATGCTAAGTGAAATAAGCCAGTCTGAGAAAGACAAACGCCAGATGATTTCACTCATATGTGGAATATAAACAAACACGTGGACAAAGAAAACACTTCAGTGGTTACCAGGGGAAGAGGGGTGGAGAGTGGGCACAGGGGCTGAAGGGGAGCACTTGTGTGGTGACAGTCAAGAAACAATGGACAACTGAAATCTCACATTGATGTAATCTATTGTGAACTCAATAAAAAAAATTTTAAAAGAATTATGAGGCATACATTGCAACACATTTTTTATTTCAGGCAGAAATTAAACAGTAAACCTCATAAAAAAGGTAAAAGAAAAAATGGTTAATCCACACAGCATTACAATTCATGGCTTCTTCAAAAGTTATCTAATGTGTTCTGGCATCTCAATGAGGCTGTGAAATTAACCTAATAAATTGGAAAGGGGAAACAGGAAGCAAGAAAGTACAGCGTATACCGGGTTAGATGGCCTTGATCTGCCTTCGTGAAGCTTCATATAAAATGACAGGAACACAGCTTACACAGAGGTGTATAATAATGAGATGAACCTGTGGCCAGTCAGGAGCTGGCTCTGGCTGTTAGAGGCTTGTGCTTGGGGCTCCAGGCCTCAGTTTCCTCAGCTGCGAAACAAAGGGCTGGACTCCTTCAGTGACTGACTGGCCGGGGTCCTTTCAGCTTAACACTCATCAAAGTCTAAGCCTCCCCATCTGTCCACACAGCCCCGGGCAGGCAGGGCCTTTGCAAAAGGAACATTTCAGAAGGGGCCCTTTCTGAAATGCAAACTTCAAAGCCCAGAATTTGAAATTTTGCTCTGAAGGGAAGACTGGATGGAAGGGAGAATTCATAAACAAGGGGAAATCACACATTTCTGGAAGAGAATCCTGCTGCATGGGTTTCTGGAAAAATAAGGAGGCGGTATCTGAGATAGTCATGTATGATCAACCAAACCCACAGATTAAGAGGCCTTAAAATGACAAGATGATACAATGCATCTTGAGAAACAAGCTTAATAATAATAGTTGAAAGACACTGAATGCTTCTGTGCCATGTTCTGTGCTAGGCACATCCCATGCATTAATTCCTTTAGTCTCACACGAGTCTGATGAGGCACGTGCTGTATTAGCTTCATTTTAAAGGTCAGGAAACAGAGACTCAGGCCAAGTGCCCTGCCCAAAGCTACACAGCTAAGAATGAGGAGGACCAGAATTTGAATCCAGACCTCAAGGCCAGATGCTGAGAGTCCATCTTCTGTGTAACCCACACCAAAGTGGTCAGCTAAGTGATTGAACAACTCCTGTCTAGTCAGCCAGGAAGAAAAGGCTTTCTGGACTTTGGTAGCAGGAACAATACCCCCTCTAAAGAATGACCTATTTTCCTTCTTTTACACAGTCTTTGCTTTGGCTGGACTGTAATTTGTCCAAGGCAGGGCTTGTTTTGCTGTTCTTGATATCCACCCAAAGGCTGGAGATTTAGTAGGTGCCAGAAAGGAATCCTAACTTTCCTCTTACCTGTGGGAAAACACTTCCACCCCCTACCTTGTGGCAGTTTTCACATCCGGAGACTGGGTGGGTTTGTAAGGCCGGCCACTGCTGGGGCTTGGGTCCATGCTGGGTGACTTTGTTATTGGAGGCGCGTTGATCCTGGAGCTCAGATCTCCACTCAGAAAGTTCTTCGCGTAGGAGGCGAGGTTTGGCACGCTGACCACTCGGCTGGGCACTTCCTCCATCTTCTTTTTCTGTTTGTATTAAAGGAAACGCCTGTTAGAGCCACTGAAAAGAGGCATTATTGTTAAAGTAGACAAGGCCTACCCAACCAAAACTATATGAACCATGAGGCAATACTTTTTTTTTATATGCTTATATATTATTTTTTAAAGTATCTTTTCCTCTAATCTATTTTGTGTTTTATTTATTTTTTTAAAGCCGTTTTTTTTAAAAGATTTCATTTTTTTCCTTTTTCTCCCCAAAGCCCCCCAGTACATAGTTGTATATTCTTCGTTGTGGGTCCCTCTAGTTGTGGCATGTGGGACGCTGCCTCAGCGTAGCTTGAGGAGCAGTGCCATGTCTGCGCCCAGGATTCGAACCAACAAAACACTGGGCCACCTGCAGCAGAACGCGCGAACTTAACCACTGGGCCACAGGGCCAGCCCCTATTTTGTGTTTTAAAAAGCACATAGGTTCACAATCTCTTATCCAAAACTTCTGGTGACAGATATGTTTTGTAATTCAGAATCTTTGTTTAGATTTTAGAAGGGGAGGGGCCTACCTGTCCTCAAAGGCATTAATATATCAGGAATGAAACTAGCATTTTGTCACACTAGAGGGATATATAAAAATTATAAATGAGCTCTCATCAGTTCAGCTTAGGTTAGGTCTATTGTCCTGTGAGGTATAAAAAAAATACTGATTTTTTTAGCACTTTTAGGATTTTGTGATAGCAGATGAGAGACTTGGATGTGAATATTTTCATTGTAACAAATTCCAAAAATATATAAAGAAAACAAAAGTGGAAGGGTCAGCCCAGTGGTGCAGGGGTTAAGTGCGCACGTTCTGCTTCCGTGGCCCGGGGTTCACTGGTTCAGATTCCAGGCGCAGACATGGCACTGCTTGGCAAGCCATGCTGTGGCAGGCATCTCACATATAAAGTAGAGGAAGATGGGCACAGATGTTAGCTCAGGGCCAGTCTTCCTCAGAAAAAGAGGAGGATTGGTGGCAGATGTTAGCTCAGGGCTAATCTCCCCCCCCCCCCAAAAACTATGGAAGATTCCTGCTCTTGTCTCTTCTTCCTATCACCCAGATAGAGCCATTATTAATAATGACATGTTTATTCATAGGAAATTTGGAAAATACAAAAACCCATACAAAATTAAAAGTACACGTAATCTGCCTAGCCAGATATAAATGCTGTTTGCTAATAATTTGGACTATTTCCTGTGGGTCTTATTTTCAATGAATATTCCTCTAAATGTATGCCAGCCCATTGATAAATGAACTGCAGTTACTTTTAGGAAAAATGAAGCCAGCCGAATTGTGAAAAGCACTGAAATCAGTAGAACCGATTTACCTTCATGGAGGGGGTCAAATACCCCTGGTGAGGATGGAAAGAGAAGGACCGATTCCGATGGGACATTGCGCTGGGGAACGCTGCATAGTGAAATCTTCTCTCCTCCTGGCAAAAGAGTACAACTGATCTAAATGAGCTTAACAGCACAGCCCTGGGTCTGACGTGAAGGAAGATGGCCGGGTGAGGGCTGAGTACGGAGACAAAGTAAGTCCGGGGGAGGAGGGGAAGTCAGTGGGAATCGAGCTGCCATCACTGAAGCTTGGAGGAAGCACGTTTACTCCCGGGATCTTCGTGTCCTCAGCCCCTCTTGTAAAGGAAAGGCCGAGCTTATTTGGAATGCCTTAGGGAAGTGAGAGATCCAGGTGCTCTTAGAATCTGCGGAGAAGAGTCAACTGCAGAAGGTTAATAATTAAGGTAAAGAAAGAAAACCCCCACACAGAGTCACTACGTGGCCAATCTTGTTTATGTGCGTCATTCGCCCCTTTTCTCTCTCCTGGTGTATTATTTTTAAAGCAATTTCAGTCATTGTATGCTTTCATCTGTAAAAACACCGATATGTATCTCCTAGAGATAAGGACTCTTTTTTTAAAAAAACCTAACCACAGTACCTTTGCCACACTTAGTGAAAGAGCAACTCCCTGTTAGTATCATCTAATTTTCAGTTAGTGGTTAAGTGTTCCTGTTTCACTAATGTCTTGACATGAAACAGTGTGGCTGGGGCAGGGGGCGGGGATGGGAGCGAAACACAGAGCATACGTGTATTCATGGGAGGATGTGAGGCTGTGCAGGCCACAGTGAGATGTGGATTTTACTCTGAGAAAGATGGAAAGCCAGGAGGTGGAGAACAGAGCTTGTGCCATCATCTGACCTGTATTTTCATGAGGTCACTCTGGTTGATATGAGGGCAGCATAGTGCGATGAGGCTCAAGTGAGTGGGGAAACCAATGGTTTCTCATCACACATGTGAGAGGAGGTGGGGCTTGGACTAAAGTGGTGGAGGTGGAGATGGTGGGAAGCGGCTAGACTTCTGATGTGGCTAACTAGCTCTCCCATCGTGGGCCACACCCACAGGGGTGAATCCATCACCCACCGTCCCCAGGGCTGAATGTAAGCCATTGGGAGCTGTCCCAGCTGATTCGGCTGGGCCGATATAAACAACTTTCAACCAAAGCATGGAGCGTGGAGAGGCTGAGTTAGAGCCTAAGGCAACGGTCAAAGTGTGAGGAGATACCGACATGAGGCAGGTGACCTGCCAGAAGGGGCAGGGGCGGATGGAGGGGAGGAGCGTTTCAAAGAAACGACCATCAGGCCGTGGTGCCTGTTGGATACAGAATCAGGGAGTGGGAGACAACGTTTCTCTTTAAGGGCTCCAGGGGTGGCTTTGCCGACTGGAAAACAGTTGGTCACTTTTACAGCAGCAAGATCAATAAGGAATAATTGGCTTCATTGATTCTACTGAAATTCAAGTGGAAGGCAAGCCATTCTAGATTCTCCCTAATTCTGCAGGTTAAAAAGACCAAACCACTCTCAACAGCGGGCAAACGCTGGGGGACTTGGGAGTGGAGCGCTTTTGACTTCTCTTCCTGTGTTAATTTTTTTAGCGAATGTGTATTTTTTTTTTTTAATGTAATAGGACAAAATAACGAAGGATCTTTGGTAAGGTGGTTTGATGGCTATCGGGGTTAGGGTTTTAGGTGCCCAGAGAGGCGCAGGCGCGAAGTGAACGCCCCGAGGCGCCCGGGGCCCCACGCAGCCGCCTCACCGTGAGCCGCTTGATGATCTCCTCCCGCTCCTGCAGGCGGCTCTGCAGACGCGCTATGAGCTGGACGTCCTCCGGCCGGGACGCGCCCTTCGCCGGCTTCTCTCCGCCGTCTTTCAGTCTGTTCGAGGCAGGCAAGCAGGCAGCCCCCTTACCGCGCGCAGGGGGCACAGGTGGACATGAGGGGGCCCCACTGTGTGCTTAGCCAGGCCAGCCACTCATTCTGTGCGCGAAAGGGGAAACTGAGGCCCAGAGAGCTTGTCCAGGGCCACCCAGTGAGCTGGTGGCAGAACTCCGGGAGGAACCCACGACCCCAGCTCCCAGTCTGACCTTTGTCAGTTGCCCCGAGGCTGCGGGGCCCAGGAACCAGGGGCCCGCGCGTGCACACAGATGCTGCCCTCCGTGGGGCGTCAGGAACCGGGGACATTGGGAAGAAGAGGGTTCAGCGGGAAAACACCCCCACCCGGCCCGAGGCCAGCAGGTTGTGCTGATGCCGACCGGTTCTGGCGCCATCTGCGGGCGGACACGCAGCGCCGCATGAGCCGGTTTCGGTACCCACAGCCCTTTCTGCGTGGAGCGGGAGGGAAATCCCTCTCCGGATGGTGGGGAGAGGGAGGGTCGGGCTACGGACGACCTACGGACGGTAGTTGAAAGAGGCCAGGACTTTGGGGTCCGATGACTTGGGCTCTAATCCCAGCTCTGCGACCTTGGGGGCAGCATCTCACCTGTGAGCCTCAGTTCCTTCTTTAACATGGGCATGAAACTGGGTGGTTGTGAGGACTGAGATAATGGGTGCCTGGCATGTGGTAAGTACCCGTTAGAAGGTAGCTCAGACAGCCCTCCTGTCCAGATTTTGGATGATTTGCTTCGTACTGGAGACAGTGGAGGGCAGTTTTTAAGAGCGCACGCTAAGGGTCAGACAGGTGACACTTAAATTCACTTAGTCCTGCTCGACCTGGTCTCCCTGCCACTAACCCCGATCCCCCAGTCTCTTCACCTCTCAGCAGCCAGAAGTGACCCTGTTAAAAAGTAAATCAGACCACGTCACTCCTCCTCAAACCCTGCATGGCTTCCCGGGGTACTCTGAATACGTCCAAACTGCTTCCCGTTATGTGCAGGATCTCCTTCAACCCTCCCAGCCACCCCACCAACTCCAATTCCTACCATTCACTCACTCATGTCACTTAAACCACATGGGCCTTCTGGCTGTTTAGGGTTGTGAAGCAGGCCCCAGGACCTTTGCACTTGCTGTTCTGTGTGCTTGGAATGCTCTTCCTTCTCCAGATGACTCTCTCATTCCCTCACCTCCTTATGCTTAAATGCCACCGCCTTAGAGAGGACTTCCTTGCCCACCCTTGCCACTCTTTGGACATTGATACTGTTTTTCTGCCAGCACTCTCACTACCTGATATGAAGTTAGATATTTGTTTGCTTATTTCTCGTCAGAATCCCCATGTGAATTTGTGAGCTCTATGAGAGCATAGTCTTTGTTTTGTTTCCTGCTGTAACTCCAGAGCCTAAAACAGTGCAGGGCACAGAGCAGGCCCTTAAGAAATATTTGTCGAATGAATAAAAGAATGCATGCATACATGCCCAAGGGACCCTTGGTTTCTTTATCTGTCCATGGGAATAACAGTTTCCACCTTGAAGGACCGCTGTGAAGATTCAATGAGGTGATGATGCATGTTAAAATAGGGCAAGTGCTCAGAAAAAAGTAGCCCTGATCCTTCTGGTTTCTTCTAGGTGTGAGGGTCAAACCCAGCCCTTGAGGCAGTGCTCATTCCTCACGGATCCCCAGGACCCTGCCGAAAGGGGGATGCAGTCTCATGAAATGACCAACCACCCAGCCTGCCTGGGACTGAGGTGCTCCTTGGAACTCAGGACTTCTAGTTTTAAAACTGGAAGGGTCTCAGGGGCAACGGGATGAGGTGGTCACCCTAATAAAATGGTGCATCCGCTAGTCCCTCCCAACCTGGGGCCAGGCCTCACTCACTCGGTTTCCAGGGCAGCCAGCCGGGCCTGGAGACGGGCTTGAGCGCTGCTGAAATCTGCCGCCATGGCCTGCGTCTCCTTCCGGTGCTCCTGGCGTAGCAGCTCCACCTCCCGGGCCCGCTGGGCTTGTTGGTCCTCCTCCAGCAGCCTGCGGGGGATGAAGCACAGCTGGGCTTGCCCCGGCTCTAGGGACTGACCTCTTGGGCACTGAGGTTTTCTCCCTCCTCTGCTGGGTGGCCGGGTTTGGAGACAATGGGTGGGGGGAAGTTATGAATCTGAGGTCAGGACACCCGTGGGAAGGAGACCTGGGGTCTCTAAACCCCACTTGTGTGACCCCTTCTCAGCATCCTCTATCTCAGCATTCCAGGAAGGAGAAAGGTGAGCATGAAGAGCAGCCTCCTGGGAGAAGGGGTGGAGGACAGCTCCGGAGGGGAGTCCCAGTGTCTGTGCGCAGCCTCCTCCATCACTTCCTAGCAATGAGACCTTGGACAAGCTTCTTCATCTGTTAAATGGAGGTGATGATAGTGGCTACCTTATAGGGTTATTGCAAGGATGAGTCGTGTTAATACATGTCCAGAACAGTCCATAGCGCAAAGTACATATTCAACCATCAGCTATCGTTTTTCTTAACCTAGGAGCCGGGCACCAAGGGATCCACAGATGCTTTCTCCATGCCAGGGACGGTGGTAAGCATCTTGCGTACACTTCACTGCATTCTCCAACAGCCCTGAGAGGTGGGGTGTCATCTCCAGTTACAGACGAGGGCACAGTCTTGGAGAGGTTAGCTGACCAGCCCAAGGTCACGCAGCTAGTTAAGAGCACCCAGCCCTGTCTTGAACTATTTCACCCCACTGTCTCCCGAAGGCTGGCTTTGAGGATTCTTTTGGTATCCTTAGGTCTGATTCCCCAAACCCCCTGATTTGCAGGGAAATAGAGTTCCCTCCTCTATTTCAGGGCACATCCCCTGCAGTTTTGAGATCTAAAATTTCTAGAGCATTGGTACTTTTCTGGGGTCAAAGGAGTAACGTCAGCGAGGTGCCAGCCTGTTAGAGAGTCTCTTCTTTGGGAAGGTGCTGAGGACGTGACCCAATTTTAGATCTCGCAGGCTCACCAAGGGGCGGTGGAGGGAGGGGGGAGGGAGGGGCGCTCCGGGCCCGCAGACCCACCTGCGCTGGTCGCGGAGCCGCAGCGCCTCCTGCTGGTGCTGCTCCACCTCGGCCCGCAGCCGCCGCACTGTGTCCTTGAGCTGCGAGTTCTCCGCCCGGAGGCCGCCTCCCTCGCTCGGGCCCTGCTCAGCGGAGCCCTTCGGGGAGCCCGCCTGGCCCGGGTCGCCCCGCTCCTGGGGAGAAGGTAGCCGGGAGAGAGGTTTTCAGGAGGCGCAAAGGCGGACAAGGCGCAAAGGGCCACCTGCGCCGGCGAAGACGGAGACCTGTGCTCCGCCGGCCTCGAGCCAAATCGGGCTCCTGGCTCCTGATTCGGGAGCTCACATCCAGCCTCTTAAAGTTTTCCTGCTTTGAGAGTTGGCCACATCTGGCCCTCAAAAAGTTTAATGACGCTAGTGAGCCAAGAACGTGGCTTAAATGGAAGCTAGCCAAACACGGCACGTATTTCATGCTCCCACACCCTCGCCCTCGCCCTTGTGTTCCCTCCACCTGGAGTGCCCGCCCCCCAATCACTGCTGCCTCAGGGAAGCCTTCTCGACCCCTCAGGGGACACGCCATGAGCTTTCTCCTCTGACAGCAGAATCTCGTCTGGGTAGAGGTTACACTGAAGTGCACTAACTTGTTTAAACGCTGGTTTCCTCCAGCAGACTGGGAGCTGTTCTGGGAAGGAAGCGTCTCTGATTCGTCTGTCCAGTCCTATGGCACCTACCACGGTGGCTGGGATTCAGTAGGTGCCAAATAAATGCTTCCTAAATGAAATGGTGCTTGAATGCCAGTGAGTCAGATAGATATACAAAGATTCATGCCTGCATTAAATGGGGTCAGAGTTAATCCCTGATTAGCAAATGCGGCAGTGTTCAAGGCTGCTCAAACACACCTGAAGGCATGGCGGTTGTTCATTCCACCCGAGGACTGCACAGCTTTGCACAGGGAGCATCAGGCCCAGGCCCATACCTCTTGCTTCCTGCCCTGGGCTTGCATGATGTGTGACGCCCACGAGTGTCCCGGGCACCACGGGCACATGAGCACCTGGCCCTCACAGATATATAGCCTGGAAGAGCCTGGTGAAGGTCCTGTGGGGGCCACCCTTGGCTAATGGGAGAGAGAAGCTGATGGACACATGCATCCCTCTCTGTCCCCGGCCAGGACAGATGTGAGAATTATTTCACAGGGCTCTTGGGAAGATCCCAGGGGAAGGAACACCGCTTACCTGCAGCAGTGGCCAACTTGGGAATGCACCTTTCTAGTGAGTCCCTTTCCCTCTCTCACTCCTGCTGCCTGGGGCTGTCCCTACTTGCTGACACCCCTACATCTCTTCTCTGTGTGAGTTTTCACCTGAGGCCTTGCTGTTCCTTCCAGAGCATTGAGGTCTTCCCTCCAGGGAGGTGAAGGGGAGGCCTGGCACATGGGTGGCCGGGTATTGTCTCATCCACCCAGTGACCCCTGGTTTCTATCAACAGCCCTCAGGCAAGCCTGTCATTACAGAGGTGCAGCACTGGACCCTCCAGTCACCAGCTGTCCCCATCCCACATTTCCCGTCCCCATCCATAGGGACCAGTGGCTTCCAGCAATCTAGAACACTTAATGGAACACATTCTGTCCTCCCTCTGCTAGACTTTACTGACTGGGCTGAACTCCTTGTGACTCGTTATTGGTTAATATTTCTTATTAAACACAGAAATCATTTTCAGGTGCTCAGTACCAGCAAAATCTGGAGTGAAAGATCCCCAGGTCCCAGAGGCCTTCAGCAGGGCTGGGACACCAACTAATCATGGCCATTGCAAACCCTGGTGGCGACTCTACTGTGTGCAGAACTTTGTGCTGAGTGCCGGGATGGGGTGGGGATGAGAGGAAGCGGACATGGCTTCTTCTCAAAGGACTCCTCATGCAGTTGAGGACACAAGAACATCCATGAGATGATGGGTCCTTAATGGAGCCAGGCAGTGGATGCTCATTCCAGCTGAACCGTACCAACAAGAAGTGCTCCAGAAGCTCAGAGAGGGGTGGGATCGTAAGTGTGGGGGCGGGGGGCCTGGCATGGAGGGATAAGCTGGGCACTGAGGAGGGAGGCAGGGGTCCTAGGCAGAGGGTGGGGCACATGCAAAGGCAGAGAGGTGGGATGCGGAGCCCATGTTTAGAGCAGAGAGGGGATATGGCTGGAGATACGAGGTGCAGGCAGTGTGTAAAGGCTTTTCGATGCCAGACTGAGGCATTTGGAACTTATTCCCATAGCAGTAGGGAGCCACTGAAGGCTTTATACAAATGCACTTTAGTTGAATACCTTGGAGCCTTAGGTGGCGGGCTCGGGGAGAGAGGTCTGGGCTGTTGGGAGGTCACTAGGTGATATGCCAGGAAGGGACCAGTGGGCCAAGTCTGACCAGGAAGTTCAAGGAGAGTTGGCATTGAGCTTCGGTGACAGCAAGGCAGCTCCCACTCATGGGAACAGGGAGGTCTGGGCAGAAAGTCTGGGGAGGTGTTCTGAGAAATTCTCCGCAAATCCAAAGGCATTACCCAGACCAGCTGTCTCCAGGGCCTGTCGGGCTTCAAGCCCCTGAGATGCTATTGTATCTGAACTAAAAAGAATGTGCAGCACTTCAAACCTGTCTTTCGGTTTTCAAAGATGGGCGCCTGCAGGCCCGTCAGGTAACCTCCATGCTTGTGCAGGGAGAAGGGTCCCCCCATTTCACACAGGGGAATGATGGAGCGCCCGGAGCCTCTCCTTTATGCGTTGCTCACTGCAGCCCTGACCCTGCTCCAAGAGGGGTGTGCCATGGGCAGGGCAGGGCAGGGGCGCTGACCTCTGCAGTGACAGTGTGGTCCTCGCTGTCCCCTGGACACTGGCCAATGGCCTGCTGCCTGCCCGAGCTGCTCAGGGCCCTCAGCTCGGCCTGCAGCACCTCCAAGTCCTTCTGGTGCTCCGAGCAGGCCGCCCGCTGCTCTGACAGCTCCTGCCGGAGGGACTCTGGAGAAGGAAGAGCAGTGGAAGGTCAGGCGCACGGGGATGCTGAAGTCTGTCCTGCAGGGACACAGTCTCTGGGGTGGGCCCGGGTGGGTGGCTGCTGAAGGCTTTGGATCGCGTTTCCCAAACTTATTTCAAGATAACAGTAACAACAGTTCCACGTATAGAGCACTAAATGTGCTAAGCCCCTGAAAACTGTTTTCATTTAAACCCTACAACTATCCCCTATCCAATAGGTATTATCCCTCCCGTTTTATGATGAGGGAGCACTCAGATAGGGGAGTGAGTGGCCCAGAGCCACACAGCTAGTAAGTGGTGGAGTGGGGATTCAAAACTGCAAGTGGTTCTTCACTCCCAACCACCTGCTTAGCCATGCTGGTTGGTTAGGATGGGTGGGGGGTGAGGGTGGGACAGCCTGAGCCCAGGGCTAAACCCTGAGGCAACGCTTGGCCTCAGCACCAAGCCAGAAAACCAAGAGAAGAACAGGGAATTAACAAATGACCCAGGGGCCTCTTCTGGGGTTGCAGGTCTCAACTGGAAATTTTGACATTTATGTGAACTCTTAAGGAGACAAACGTTCATGGGTTCTCCTTTCCATGGATGTAGGGTCTTGGCTGGATCATGGAGGCAAGAGATGGCATGTCCAACAGGACTGGCTTTAAAACCAGAATCGTCCAGGAGAAATGCACACGCCCTCCTCAACTCAGGGGAGTATGGCAAGAAACTCAGATTTCTCCTCTGAGGACAGTGGGTGATTTCTGATAGTGTAGCCCTTCTCAGCATGATGGAAAGGCAAGAAAACGGTCATTTCAAAATGAGTATTTTCTAATAGAATAGTGCTATTCGGTGGGCTACGAATTTTTTAAAAGAAGATAATTTCCAAGTGCCAGTAAATGCTATCCTTTATTTTTCTGTTTAGGACTTTTGAGACTCTGTATTTTAGTTATTGCAAATCACTTTTGAAACATTGTCCCAATAATTCCATAAGCCATAAGATAAGCACCCAGTACAGGCCTTAGTACAGAGCAAATGCTCAACATATATTTGCAAAATAAGTGTATGATGTTTAGAGTGAAAATTAATGATACTGTAAGAGTGTATCAGTTGTAAATGATTTCCCATAAGCTAACTAACCTTCTCTCAAAGGTATAGTATATTAAATACATATAAAAGCTAGGCACTTTATATTTAATGTCTCATCGAGTCCACACAACAACCCTATGAGGTGGGGACAATTGTGACTCCATTTCGTAGAAAAGGAAAATGAGGCTGAGGGTGACCCGCCCCAGTCTCACAGCTAGTTGGTGGCAGAGCCATGACAGTCACCCCAGCGTGGGTGCCTCCAGCCCCCTGGGCCCCACGCTGCCCTGGTCTCCATGTGTGGACCCTGCCGGGTGTGCGGTCAGTTGTGTACCTAGTAGCAGGGCCTGCTGAGCCTGCATCCTCTCCAGCTCCCCCTGGAGCTCCTGCCGGGCCTTTTCCTCCAGGGCCTGGAGCTCCAGCCGGTGTGCCTGGTGCTGGATCTGGAGGCTGTGGCTGGATTCCCTTTTCAGTCGCTCCTCTGTGGCCTGTGGGCAAAAGTGGGAGGAAGAAGGCATGAACATGGGCACAGAGGGGGAGACCTGGCCTCTATGCCAAGCTCCCCAGCTGCCCCAGGTCCCACTGAGCACTCGCCACTCCCCAGTGGAGGGCTTATCAGACTACAGAGAATGTTCCTCCACCCATCTGGGATGACAGTGATGGCCTGGCCACAGCAGCCATTTTGTACCATGTGAACCTAACCCCTGTCCACAGCTGATTGGTCCAGAGTGGACACCAGTTCTAAGCTGGGCCAATCATTGAGAATTTGGCGTTAAGAGGCGGAGGAGAGAGAAAGCAAGAAAGAAACAGGCAGACACTGATTGGCTGGCTCCAATTTTACCACATTCAGGAGGAGTGAGGTGAGCCTCTTACACCTGCCCCACGTCCAGAGAGGCAGAGGGGGCCTCTGTGAAGACAGCCCAGGGCTGACGTGCAGAAAGAGCAGAAATGACAGAAGGAGGGGTCCGTACAGCATTTCCAGTCCCTGGTCTAGTCTGGTCCTAAGAACTAGCTGTGTCCCCGCCCTTGGGGTCATTTATATGTTCATTCTTTCGTTCATTCATTCTTTAGTTCAACAAACATTCATTTATTGGAGGCTTATTATGTGACAAACACCCAAAGCAGGTTCTATGAACAGCTGTGTAGACTTTAATAAAAATCTCTTCACTCCCAAGCTAGCTCAGGTTGGTTTCTATGGTAGATGCAACAATGACCTCAAAGATGTCCATGTCTGAATCCCGGAGGCTGTGAATGTGTTCCAGGGTGAAAGGAGCTCTGCAGGTGCGATTATGTTAAGGATCTTGAGATGTGAGATTATCCCAGATGACCTGGGTGGGCCCCGAGTAATCACAGGGTCCTTGTAAGAAGGAGGCAGGAGAGCCAGGCAGAGGCAAGGAGCGCAGGCAGCTGCCAGGAGCTGGAAAAGGCAGGCAGATTCTCCCCCAGGGCCTTTAGAAGGAACCCAGCCCCACCAGCACCTTGATTTCAGGCCTTCCGACCCCGGACTGTCAGAGAATGTTTATGCTGTGTTCAGCCACCAAGTTTGTGGTGATTTGTTACTGCAGCAACAGGAAACTAATAGTTTCTGGTTTTTTGCAATAGAGAGTTCCAATTAATACATAGCCCCACCTTTCAGATGAAGTTGTTGAGGCTGGGAGGGGTGAATTAGCTTCCCCAAGGTCACACAGAAAAGATGCAGCAATGATCTTCGTCCCCTCTTTTCTTTAACAGAGGAGGAAACTGGGGATCAGAAAGGTGAAGTGACTTGACTGAGACGGCTCATCATGGAGGCAGGACTGTAACCCAGGGGTGGCCGTGTTCAGGCCCCAAGCCCTATCCACTCCCTCCCGCAGCCTCTGGGAACAATGAGACAGGGGATTTCACCAAACATGTGAGGCTCTGTGAGGGGAGATGGAGCCCTCTCTGTGCCCAAGGCAGTAGACTGTACACAGAGTGCCCTGGCCTCTGCTGCTCCCGGGCAGATGGGGGAGAAACCGTCTTCCTCCTCCCATGGGAAACTCAGTCATCCCGTGGTGAGTTTATTTAGTAAGGTAGAAGGGTCTCGTACTTTTCAAACTCTTCAATATTTCCTCCTCTTGGACTTGCTTCAAGGCTCTGAGAACTCCAGTTGGTGACATTTTCATCCCCAGGGAAATGGGAATGGAGAGGTCGAAGCAAAGGTTTGCAAAAGATGGAGCCAAACTCACTCACTCAGTGACCAGGCCTCTCTCTGTCCCTGGGGACGGCAGAGGACTCGGGCCAGAACTGCCTGCTTTCTTGCTCAGAAGCACTTGGCAGTGAGGACCCACAGGGTTTAGCACCCAGGGTTTATATCCAGTGGGACACTCATCCCTGGCAAACTGCTGCAGCCTCTATGGGAGGCTGACCTGGCTCTTGTTGTGGCCGGTTTGGGGCCTCCTAAGGGACCCAGTTTCACCCCGACTCTCCATGCCCCACCCTGTGTAAAGTCTCCTTTCCCTGTGCTCCCAAATACCTTGGGCAGCTATCTCATGGCTCCGACTCACTCAATTACACAAACTGTTTGAGTGGCTGCCTTTCCCCCTAGAGGTAAGCTCCACAAAGACAGAGTGTGTTAATCATCTTGGCATCTCCCGAGCTCAGCATGATGGTAGCTCATAGTAAATGCTTGATACAGAATCAATGAGTGAGCAATAAGAGTGGATCTTCTTAAAACTGAGCTCTGCTAAGGATTGAAGGTTTGTGTGTCTCCAAAATTCATATGTTGAAACCTAATCCCTAATGTGATATATTGGGAGGTGGGGCCTTTGGGAGATGATCAGGTCATGAGGATGGTGCCCTCATGAATAGGATTAGTGCCCTTATAAACGAGACCCCAGAAAGAGCACCATCCCCTTTCGCCATGTGAGGTTATAGTGACAAGACATCCACCTATGAGTGAGGAAGTGAGCTCTCAACAGATATCAAATCTGTTGGCATCTTAGTCTAGGACTTTCCAGCCTCCAGAACTGTAGGGAATAAATTTCTGTTGCTTGTAAGCCATTCAGTCTATGGTATTCTGTTACAGCAGCCTGAACTGACTAAGACAAGCTCTACTCAGCCATGTACTGTTCTAAGCACTGTGCATATATTATCTCTTTTGATGTTCTCAGTGGGCCTGTAAGATACATACTATTTCTATCATTTATACATAAGGAACTTGAGGCACAAAGCAGCTAAGTGACTGTCTGAGCTCCCACATCTCTAAGTGGCAGACCCAGGATTTAAACCTAGGCATCCCATTTTTAATCACTACCTTGTATTAGGAATGACTGTATGTCTATTATTTCCAATCAGAATCAGCCCCTGACTCTTTGGTCTCATTTTGGAACCATCCCATGAGACTGGAGCTGGCGATGAAGATCCCGTGAATCTGGTTCTAGGGTTGCCAGGGCCTGGGGGTTAGAACTGCAGGGTGACCCCGATGGAAAGAGCACCCTCCCTCTCCCATGGCCAGGCCTCAGACCCTCCTTCCTCCAGTCAGCCAGAGCCGCTGGAACGCCTCCCCTGCAGGTGGGCCAGGCCTCTGTGCTTCCTCTGCCTCCTCCACGGGACTGAGGTCTGCAGCCTGGCAAACACAAAGGCCGGCGTGGCCCAGCAGCTAATAACCGGGATCGCATCAACCTGAGCTCTGGTAAACTGCAAGCCAAGTTGGAAGAAGATTTAAGAGAATAAAAGAAGAAAGAGAACTCACATTTTTTGAATACATACTAAGTGCCAAGCAGTCCACGTGCATTATCTCATTTCTTTTTGTTTCTTTTTTTTTTAAAGCTTATTTTATATTTTTATCAGGGCAATGCATGCACACAGCATAAAGGGTCAAACAGTCTTAAAAGAAAAGAAGACCAGCACCTCCCAGTCCTCTTTCTTCCTCTCCTGCATCCTGTTCCCTGGAGACAACCACTGGCAACTCTTAGTTGTTTCTTCTGGTATTTACCACCATTAACCTGGTAGTATCTCCATTCTGCTCTGTCTCGATTACTTTAGAGATTAGGAATTGTCTTCCCATTATGGTAGATGAGAATTTGAGGTCTCTTATACATTCTCCTCCTTCCATTCCTCACACATAGTTTTATTACTTTTTAAATATGGTGAAATACTTTTCAATATTTTCATTATTGTGAGTAAATATCATTTACTGCTGAGCTACATAAACTGTTATGATTAAAATCTACCTTGTACAATTTTTGTTTTTCATTGTATTAATAACTGCTACATTTTTAAATGTGCTTAGTTTTCTTTGAATATCTGGCTATATCTTCCAACAACTTCTAAAAGCCTTGTAAAACACTTTCAATACAATTTTCCACATGGCCAAATCGCTCAGAGAATCTGTCAGTTCTATCTCTCCCTGGAGGCATCTCCTCCAGAGCCCTCAGTCCTCGTGCTGCAGTCTGGACTGAGTTGTTGTCTCGGCCAGAGGCATAGCTGGGCTCCTAAAACCTTCCTTCCTCTCCTGTACTGGGTTCCTTGTATCCTAGATCCCTTTCATTCCCTCATCCTTGGTTTGCTCCCTTGTTTTGGTGGCACCCTCTTCAAGGAACTTCCCAAGGAAAGGTGCACGGAAGATGTATCAGTCTGGGTCCAATAGGAGACAGAAGCCAAGCAGTAACTGAAACAGGAAGCTCAATGTAAAAAAACTACTATAAAGACGCAGAGAGAACTCTGAAGTGTATCCTGAGGCTGAGGGAGGGCACTCAAGAACTTGGAAGGGGAGCCCTGCCAGCCTGGGGTCCACACCTTGCTGGAGAAGCTATGGGGGCAGCTGACTGGTGGAGTAGATCGCTGAGTTGGTCCACAGCCACTAGTCAAGTAGGAACAACCCTCCAGAGTACAGGTGAACTACAAGTGGGTGGGCACTCAGAGGGAATGGGTGCCCATGCAGGCATGAGGGCCAGAGCAGACAGTATTAGTCTTGGGAGGGGTGCAGGAAAAAAATATCTGTGATGCAGGCTACAGCGGCCGATGGGCGAGAGCCCAGAGAGCCAGGGTGTGCAGGGGTGAGGGCTGGAGTGTGTGATGTCCACACCAGGAGGTCATGGGAAGGCAGTCATGGGCCTGGGCCAGGGCTGAGAGATCACTGTGAGGTCACTGGGGCAGAGTATCACCTGATGTCCTCGCACACCCACGATGCTGCTCAACTGTGTGACAGAAGCCACACAAAGTGAAAAAACAGCTGCCAGACCAGGAAGAGAGGCCTCCTTCCTCCTGCAAGGTGCCTTCAGTGCCTCTACTGACAAAGCTTAACATTGTGCTCTTTGTAAAGGAGAAAAGAATCCAGATCATCATTGTGGAGCAGGCAGTGAAGGGGAATTGGGCGCTGAGAGGCAGCAAATTGATAACAGAAGGTAAATTTCCTACTATTTCATATGTCTGATGATACTTTTATTCAATTCTCACACTTATTGATAGTTTTAATTGAATTGCTCAGAATTGCTTCATTGTCTTCTAGCTTCCCACGTTGCTGTCGAGATTTCTGATTCAAGTACTTTGAGTCTGGAATCATTTTTCCTCATTGGGAACTTTTAGAATTCCTTCCATTTCCCTGGTGTTCTGAAGTTTCAAGATGAGCCACGGTAGGGGTCTTTCTCATTTAGTTCTGCGAATTTCATTCTCTTATTTCTTTGAAAATATCTTCCCCTCCATTATCTCTTTCTGGAACTCCTATTTGTTCGATAGCTGCCTCCTGGATTGTGTCTCTAGACTTTTGTTCCTTTTCCCTCATTATCCATTTCTTGCTCTTTTGCTTCTGGAAGATTTCTTCATTTTTTATATTTCAACTCATTTACTGGTTTTTAGAATTTCTGCTATCATATTTTTTTATTTAAAGAGCTCTTTCTTCCTCTAATTGCTCCCTCCTTTACAAATAAAATATTGTCCTTGTTTCATGGATGTAAATATAATCTCTTCGTTCTGAGACTATCAGTCCTCATTGAAGATTTTTTTTCTTTTTCTGCCCTCTGCATTATCCATTTCCTCTGAGTTCATTCTTTCCCCCTCGATTATCTTGGATTCCAACTTTCACAATAGAGCCTTCCTCAAAAGTTTAGTAATCTTTGGCTGTCTCTTCCCATTTCAGAGCAGGGCACTGAAGGCTAACTGGAAGCTTCCTCTGTGCCTGGGTGGGGTCTGTTGGATGGTGGGCTCCTCTGGACAGTAACCAGATGGCCAACCAGCAATTTTATTGGTAGCTCACAAATGTGAGAATGGGTCTTTTCTCTACGGTGGTTTAATTTCCCCAGAGAAGGTTCTCCCATCTCCTGCTTAGGAGATCTCAGTTCTAACTGCTTGCTTTCTGGGGCTGAGCAGGAGGAGGCATTGCTGGGGGCAGGAAAGAGGGGGCAGTAGTCTAGTAATGGTTCAGTGTACAGATTTCACCTAAACCTGTCCTCAGAACCAAGCTTCATCCCGCCTCTGTGACTGGCATTTCCTCGTCCCAAGTTTCTCTGGCTTCGTTTATCCAGGGATTTTCCCCCACGTGCCTTGTACGTACATAAGGGAGAGACAATTGCTTGACTGTGCTGGGTGAGCTGGGAACCTGGGGTTCTAGGCGAGTCATAGTCCCCATCTCACTCTTGCCTTCTGTGATAAGTGGCACCTCCAATTCCTGGTCTTTCTGAGCTCTGCTGTCAGCTGGATTCTTGTCATTCTTTTTCTGCAGGCACTTTGATTTGAGTTTCTCTGCTCTGCAAGGTCATATACAATTTTCCATTTGTTTCCTGCCCTCATACATTGTGGTTCAAGTGTACGGATGTCTCCTAGCTTCACCTGGACAGAGTATGCTTCTGCCTTGTGTCCTTAAAGTTATTTGGATGGTTTCCAATAGGAAACAATTCAGAAGTCTTTATTCTGCCACATTAAAACCAGAAATCCCTTTTTTTTCATTTGATCATCTTGACAACTCAAAGAAGTGGGTGTCGATATCCCCAATTTGTAGAAGGGAAAATTAAAGTAGAGACTTGGATTCAGCGAGACTCTTGACAATATGTCTACTATGACCTGGGAGGGGATTCAGTGACAAACAAACAGAGATGGTTCCTGGCTTCAAGGAGCTCCCAGTTTGGTCGATTTGATCATATAAAGAGGTCATTTGTTAGAGTGTGAAGACTGCTGTGCGTTATCTGTGTCACTCAGTACGAGCCTCATCTCGTGAAAGCAGGGAGCGAAGGCCTTCAGAGGAAGCAGAATGAGAGGCAACAGAGGAAATGTGATCGAACCTCCCTGCTGGATGACACTTCATTGTGGGCCTGACCACCTCATCACAGCTTTCCAAGCCCTTTGGAAGGTCTTTCCTGCTGAGCTGGTTTCTCAACTCTGGGCTGCCCTCCCACTTATCAGCTGCAGGCCAAGCCTGACTCTCCAGCATGCATGATGCACAATATTGCCCCGAGTCATGAAAGAAAGCTGTTCTTACATTACCAAGGTCACATGCAGACAGGGAAAAGCAGTACAAGAAGCACAACAGACTAAGTCTGAGTCCTTGCTTTGCCACTTACTAGCTGCGTGACCCTGGGCAAGTTGCTGAATCTCTCTGAGCCTCTTTCCTCAACCGGAAAAAGGGAATATGATAACAATGTCCTTGTAGATTATCGTGGGGATTGGAGATAATGTACAAAAGGCACCCCGGATAGTGCATGCGGAGCGAGTGCTCAGTAAATAGCGGACTTTATAATTAGCACCCTTACTTACCTTGAGTTCTTGATTTTTGGCCTTCTCAAGCATGCGTAGGGCCCGCTGGTGGGAAGCCTCAAGTTGCGCTTGCACAGCCTGGTTCTGCTGAACGGTCTCCCGGAGCTCGCGCTGCAGCTTCTCCCTCTCGTGGTCAGAGAGCTGCCTGAGCTCCTGCAGGTCCTCCCTGTAGTTGCTGGCGCACTGCTCCAGAGCCTGCTGCATCTGCGAGACCTACCCCAGGATGCTGCCCTTAGGTGGGGCCCCTCACCCTTCCTGGCATTTTCCTTAAAAGTGAAAGCTTTCTGAATGTCTCCTCAACCCAGCGGAGCCTCCTCCACCCGTGGGAACTCCGAGGAGGGTGGAAACCAAGCTTGAAGAACCTGGGCATGGCCAGTCCTTCTGGGGGTTCCTCAGCTCCAGCCACAAATGCCAGGCAAGAGGGGAAGATGGGCTGGGCTGCAAACCATCCAAGAGATATCAAGAGGGGACCAGAATGCCCTCCAGGGATCTACATGGCCCCCCTCACCTCCTTCACATGCTTTCTTAAATCTTGCTTTCTTTCTGAAGCTTCCCCCACAACCCTATTTATTGTTATACCCACCCCCATCACCAGACAGCCTCCCAATTCCCTTTACTCTGCTCTGTTTTTTTTTTTTCTGAAACCCTATCATGTCTAATACACTATGCACTTTACTTATTTCTTATGTCCAGTATTTAGTCTGTACCACCTCCTCTGCTAAAGTATAAGCACTGTAATGCAGGACTTTCCTCTGGTTTGTTCACTGACGCATCCCAAGCACCCAGAAGAGTTCCTGGCTCATAATAGGTGCTTATGAGCCACAGCAGGTGTTGAATGAATGAATGAATGAATCCCACCTTGCCCTGGACCCGGAATGCCTTCCCCAGCTTGGATGTGAATCACGCCCTGTGTGCATGTCTGTAAGGCCAAGGAGGAGGCAGGGTCTCACTCAGCCTGAGGGCACATTCCCACCTCGGTGTCCTTCTACCTGGGCTTGCAATCTGGCCTTCTGGCTCTGCCACTCCTCCTGCAGACGTCGGATTTTGGGTGCCTTCTCCTTCAGCAAAGAGCCCAGGGGAGGTTGCAGGTCATCTCCTTCCTTGAGCGGCACTTCGATCCTTTGAAGATATGGAGGTCAAAATCACAAAAGATCCCTGGCTGGAAATGACAGGGCCACCTGATAGCATCTTAGCCACTCGGCTGGGAGGAGGGAGCTCCAATGGCTGTTGGTGAGGTGAGAAACATCTTCTCTGGAGTTAAGAAAGAGTACAAATTCTAAGCATTACTGCGCTTGGGATATAACCAGGATTCAGCTGGAACCATCAGATATCTGTTTCAGTGGGGGCTAAATAAATGATGATTGACTCAGAATGACTGAGAGCTTAGAGTTACTTCTGGGGTCCTCAGGAGCTCCAAAAAAGAGGTCGCTATGGTCTAATTTCACAACTCTTCCTTTACATAAAAAAAAAAAGAAATAATAATGCTTTACTTGGATACAGTACTTTACACTTTTCAAAGCGTGCTCATAACTTTTACTGGCTGTCCCAAGTATACACAGGAGGATTACAAACCGGCCTTTACATACGTAGCAGGAACAAGAAGGTGCTGCTTTAAAGCTGCAGTAGTGTCTGCATTCTAGGACAGATGCTGACAAGTGTCTTCGGAGGAGACTTTATCAGTTCTGTATCAATTCTGAGCTTTGGAACCAGCTGAGAAGTTCAAGTGTAATTGGTTGAGATTGGGACGTTAAACATTTATCCTGTGTAACAATGTAAAAGGATGCCACACGGTAGGCATTTCTGCAGAGATGGCTGGGATGTAAGTGATGTTTGGCTTCCTCTAGAGGGCAAGGACATTAGGCCAGAGGACCAGAGCTTAGGGAGTGAGGGCCTTGGACTATGAAGACAGGCCATGAGAAGGGGGACTCTGGCTTGGCAGAGGTGAGAAGGCCCAGCAACACGGGTGCAGGCTGGGGGCTAAGGAAGAGACAGGCAGCAAGGACCCCTGAAAGGAAGGGCAAGGGGCTAGAAGCAGCATAGCAACGTGGTTCAGAGCATGGACACTACACGCAGACTGCCCAGGTTCAAACTCCAGCTCTACCACTTGCTAGTTAGGTGACGTTGGCAAGCTCTTTAAACGTCTGGGCCTGAGTTTCCTCATCTATAACATGGGTTAACAATGGTACCTTTCACATGGATTGTTACAAGGATTGATAGAATAAATATCTAAAAATTGCTTAAAACCATGTCTGGCACATAGTAAGAATTATATAAAGAACGAGCCAAACATTTAATAAAGAGAGGTTTCTTTCTCTGCATTCTTATTCTCTTGGGTTATCCTCAAGCTTTTTGAAGATTTGCTAAACATAATCATTTTTAAGGAGAAATGAACAGAAGATACTAGGGCCTGACCTCTGGGTATTAAACAAATCAAGGGTTAGGAGACAGCCAGGGGTGACCAACAGAGGAGCAGCCTAGAGCAAGAGTGACAAGCAACACTACCAGAGTGGATATGTGGAACAGGTAAGCTGTCTTTGGTGACCCCTGGCGGGAGGGGACTGGACTTCCTGCCAGGGCTCAGTTATTATTCTAAAAATGTTTTATTGAGGCAAAATTTACAGTAGTTAAATGCACAGATCTTAAGTGTACAATTCAATGAGTTTTGACAAATATACACAACCACAAAACCAACAACCCAATCAAAATATAGGACATTTTCATTACCCCAAAACTCCCCTTGCACCTTCTTCTCATCAAGCCACCACCCATAGGCAGCCAGTGCTTTGATTTCCATCACTGTAGATTAGTTTTGCCTGATCTTGAAGCATCATACAGAATCATGTGGTATGTGTTCTTCTGTGTCTGGCTTCTTTTGCTCGGCATACTGTCTTTGGAATTCATCCATGATGTTGCGTATGTCAGTAGTTCACATTTTGTTGCTGTGGAGTATTCCATCACATGTGTATATCACGATTTGTTTATCCATTTTCCTACCAATAGACATTTGGGTTGTTTACACTTCTAGGCTATTATGAATAAAGCCGCTGGAAATATTCTTGCACAAGTATTTTTGTAGATGTATGTTTCCATTTCTTTTGCTTAAATATCTATGGTTGGAATTGTTGGTAGGTGTGTGCTTAACTTTTTAAGAAACTATCAAATGGTTTTCCAAAGTGGTTGCACCATTTTACACTCCTGCCAGCAATGTACGAGAGTTCCAGTTGCTTTACATTGTTGCCAACATTTTGTATTGTCAGTCTTTTTAATTTTAGTCATTTTGGTAGGTGGGAAATAGTATTTCATTGTGGTTTTAAGTTGCATTTCCCTGATGACTAATGATGTTGACCACATATTCATATGCTTACGGGCCATTCATATATCTTTTTTATGGAAGTGTCTGTTCAAACATTTTGTCCATTTAAAAAATAGATTTGTCTTTATTATTGATTAATAAGAATTCTTTATATATTTTGGATACAGACTGGATAACTTTTCCCAGTCTGTGACTTGTCTATTCATTTTCCTAATAGTATATTTTAATGAGGAGAAATTTTAATGAAGACCAATGTATCAATTTTTTCTTTGATGGTTAGTGTTTTCATGTCATATCTACAAAACCATTGCCTTCCCCAAAGTTGCAAAGATATCCTCCTATGTTTTATAGCTTATATATTTAGAGCTATGAAACATCTCAAATTAATTTTTGTGCATGGGGAGAAATAAGGGTCGAAGTTCATTTTTTTCTCATATCTTTATCCAGTTCTGACACCATTTGTTGAAAAACTTTTTCTACCCCATTGAATTGCCTTGGCACTTTTAACAAAAATTAATCCACCATCTATGTATGGGTCTATTGCCAAACACTCTATTATTTTTCATTGATCTGTTTGTCTATCTGTAAATTGATACCACACAGTGTTTATTACTCTAGCTTCATACTGTCTTGAAATCAGGTAGACTGAATCTTTCAACTTCATTCTTCAATATTTTTTTTTCTTTTGCTAGGTCCTTTGATTTTCCATATCAATATTTAAAACAGCTTATTTATTTCTACAAATGAAGCTGTTGGGATGTTATTTGGGATTGAACTGAATCTGCCTAATTTAGAGTAAATTAACATCTTAGCAGCATTGAGTATTTCAATCATGATCATTCTGGCTAAATAAAGACATTTTTACTCCTCTTTTCTAGTTTGTAGCTCTTTTTCTTGCTTTGCAGGGCTGGCTAGGACCTTCAGGACAATGTTAAGTAGTGACAGCAGAATTTTTGCCTTGTTCCCAATCTCAGGAGGAAAGTGTTCACCATTTCGCCATTAAGTATGTTGTTTGCTGTAGTTTCCATGGATGATGTTTTCCAGGTTGAAGAAGTTCCATTCATGGACTGCAGAGTTTTTATCACGAAAGTATGTTAACTTTTGTCAAATGCTTTTCTGTATCTATTGAGATGACTATTTATTTTTTCTCTTTATTTTTATTGTGGTGAATTACATGATTTCTATTCAAATGTTAAACCAACCACACATTCCTGGGATAAATCCTACTTAGTCATGATGTATTATCCTTTTTATATATCACTTGACTTAATTTTCAAATATTTTGTTGAGGATTTTGCATTCATGAAGAATACTAGCTTGTAATTTTCTCTTCTTTTAACGTCTTTGTTAGGTTTTGGTAGCAGGGTTAGGCTGCATAAAACAAACTGGGAAGTGTTCTGTCCTCTTTTTTCTGAAAGAGCTTCTATAAGACTGCTTTTCTTTCTTCTTATTGAAAATATTTGATAAAATTCATGGGCGATTCCAACTGACACTGTAGTTTTCTTTGTGAGAATATTTTAAATTAAATATTAATTTGCCATAGTTATAGAGCTATTTATACATTCTATTTCTTCTAGTGCGAGTTTTGGTTAAATTGTGATTTTCAAGGGATTTTCTTTTTGACAAATTTATTGGCATAAAGTTTGTTCATAGAATTGCTTATTATCCCTTTAATATCTATAGAATTTGTAGTGATGTTCTCTCTTTCGTTCCTGATTTTGGCTGTTTGCATTTTCTCTCTCTTTTTTTCCACTAATAAATCTTACTGAGAGTATATCATTTTCTCAAGAACGAATTTTTGCTTTTGTTAATTTTCTCTATTAGCCTGTTCTCTGTTTCATTGAGTTCGGCTGTTCATTATTTCCTTCCTTCTATCTACTTTGGGTTTAATTTGCTCATCCTTTTAAAATTAAGATGGAAACTTAGACAATTGATGTTAAAACTTTCTTTCTTAAAATATAACTATTTAAAGCTATAAATTGTCCTCTTTAGCTATACTCCCAAATTTTGATGTCACATTTTTATTATCATTGAATTTCAAACAGTTTCTCATTTCCACTGTGATTTTACTTTTTTGACCTATGGGTTATTTAGAAGTATACTATATAATTTCCAAATATTCGAGGATTTTCTTGGTAGCTCATTGTTACTGATTTGTAATTTAATTCCTTTGTGGTCAGAGAATACCCTCTGAAATAGAGTATATTTCAGAGTATATTCCAATCTTTGAAATTCATCAAAACTTATTTTGTGGTCTTTCATATTGTCTATATTGCTGAATGTTCTATGTGCCTTGAAAAAACAATTTATTCTGCAGTTGTTCAGCATATTGTCTATACATCCAATTAGATTGTTAGTTGATGGTATAGTTCAAATCTTCTATATCCTTACTGATATTAGTCTAGTTGTCCAATCAAATACTCAGAAAAGTATGTGAAAATCTCAACTATGATTGTGAATTTAGTTCACCTTTTCTTTGTATTAGTGTTTAATGTTGCTCTATGGATTACAATTTGTATCCTTAACTTATATTTACTTAGAGTTAGTATTGTATCTCTTCATAAAAAATGTAAGTCCCTTATAACAGTATAATTCCATTAATCCCACTTCCATCCTTTGTGCTAGTGTGGTCATACATTGTTCAACTACATGCATTATGAACCCCATAATACAATGCTGTTATTATTATTATTATCATTATTATTATTCTTAAACAGTTAAATGTCTTTTTTGTTGGGGGGAGGGGTAAGGAGTATTGACCCTGAGCTAACATCTGTTGCCAATTGTCCTCTTTTTGCTTGAGGAA